TCCAACCACAATTGCGTTGCAGCAGCAGGGTAAAATAGATTTTGCGTTACAAATTTAAAGGGAGGTTGGATCTTTCAATTAATAGCAGATTTTTCTTCTTCCTTCAGTTTTCTCTAATTTATAGCATGGTTACAAGTAGACATATTTTGATTACAGCTTCTCAGGAAATAGATTAGGCACAAGGTGTTCAAATTCAGCCAAACTACAAGAAAGCAGAATGCTGGCCTCATCCTGGGAAATACTGAGCAACTCTAGCATGGGCTGCTCTCACCTAATCACAGGCTGATTATATGCAAGCCAGCCATCAGTTTTGGGTCAGGTTTTCTTCTGAGGTAAAGAGGCTTAGGAACGGTTGACTCCACTACCTCCAATCTGCTGAAATCCTCTTTTCAAAGGACTTTACCAGAACAGAGGTCTTCCTATGCACAGCCCAGTGAGATTTTTTTGCTGGTCCTGTGCCTTCCACTCCAGCCTAGCTTTTGTTTCTCTCTGCAGGTAGTGCGGGAGTATGAGAGAGCCATTGTTTTCCGGCTTGGGCATCTCCTTCCTGGCAGGGCCAGAGGGCCTGGTAAGATGCTCACTGAGTTCCCCCCAGCCATATTGTTCCTCTTCATCATGCTCTACCAAAGCTCTTGTCCTGGTGCCCTCCAGGCAGGTACAGTTAACCAGGAGACAAGTCTTCTTAGGTCCAGCAGCTTCCAATGGCTCTTCCCAATACAGAATCAGACTCACAATTTGAGCCTATATATTTGCTGTTCCTTCATAGCTCTGTGCTCAATCCCCTCTACTGCTCCCTTGAGCTGAAGAAGCAATTTCTGTGGTTTGGATGATCACCAAAAGATTTTCTTTTCTTTCCACAGGTCTTTTCTTTTTCCTTCCCTGCCTGGACACATACCACAAAGTGGACCTCCGCCTCAAAACCCTAGAGATCCCCTTCCACCAGGTATGACTACCATCCCTTCTTTACATTAATTCTTGGATCTCTTTATCTGGTTGTATTTGATGACAGTCCTGATTTTGCATTGACGTAAAAAAAAACAGCTTATGCTTAAGATAGTGATTCTGGTTCCATGTCACTCCACTGGGCACAAGATACTGTTAAACGCTGCCAGTTCTTAGAGTCTCGCTGCAGATCTTACATCAAGCCATTTCTGCAAAGCCTCAGCTGCTGGATTCCTGTGACTGTATGAGACATGTCCTTTACCTCTCTGCCATTTTCAAACCACTGCTTTTAATCCCGTTCAGTTTGACAAGCTTTAGTGGTAACCAATAGGAAGTGGCTGAGCCATGGATATTGGAGCAGTTTTTACCCATCACACTGAGGGTACACACAATGGGGACAGGAAAGCAGACTGAGATCTTACAATGGCGTCTCTAAGTGTGGCAACTCTGCTCTTGTACAAGTCAGGGAAAGAGCTGAGAGCTCACTGCTAACTTTGAAACTGGCACCCTCCCTAGCCACAGTCCCACAGGTCAAACCTCCCAATAGTCCTGTTGTCTGTGCCACTGCCTTTATCTAGTACCATCAGCAGGTTCCCTCCTGTGGTGTAAAGCAAATCCCTCTGGGGATGGTACTCAGCAACACCGAGCACATAGCAGAAAACAGGAATGGAGCAAGCAGCTGTGGGCCAAGAGACACATGGGGATGTTTGACTGCTCGCAGTCTCTAGCCCAGCAACCAAACTCAGGAGACAGACACAACGATACTATACCAGGGAACTGAGATCCACAGGTGATGCAGTTTGCCTAAGGTCAGAGAGTAGCAGAGGTGACAACTACAAAGATGTACCCATCTAGCTAGTCTTCCTCTTCCCCAGAGTTGTGTACTTTTCTGTGCTACCTTAAAGTTGTCAGAACCAGATCCATCTTCCCTCATGTCTTCTGCTTAGGTGGTGACTAAAGACATGGTTACACTGGAGATAGATGCTGTCTGCTATTACCGCTTGGAGAACGCCTCTCTTCTCCTCACCACCCTCACCAGCATCTCCAGTGCCATCCAGCTGCTGGTGCAAACCACCACAAAGCGCCTCCTGGCACATCGAGCCTTCTCTGAACTTCTGTTGGAGAGAAAGAGCATCAGCCAGGAGATAAAGGTGCTTCTGCAGCTGGGGAGAGGGTGGAGCAAGCGGGGAATTTAGGCTCTGCTAACAAGCTTGGAAGATAATCAGTCCTAAATCACAGACAGTATTTTGCAAAAGAGTGCGATAAGAACATGTGCCTCCTTCATTGAAAAGTGGGAAATTTTCCTCTTTTTAAAATCACTTTAGTGGAAGGAATTACAATGTGAGTCTCACAAGCATATGTGGGTAGTAGCAAACATTGTGATGTGAGAAGCATGAAGGAGCCCCTTAAATCATTTTCATCAGTGCTCTGCAGTACCTCAGGTTCTGTGCTTATTCCAGAGAGGACTTTCTCAGGAGAATGGTTTTCTGCTGTGTGAGAGAGATGCCATAAACCCTGAATACACAGGATCTTCAGCAGCAGTTCTCTGTGGCCACCGTATGCAAACTTTATTATACCACTCAGGAACTGAATGTTTCCTATGGAATTGGATTGGTTCTACAGTCAACCAGTATGGACTAGCTAAATCATACTAAGGGCAAATACAGATCAGAAGTGAGGGATGTAATTTTTATTTCTGAGAGTCCACACACAGTATAAAATAAATCCGCATCACTGCCTTGAATTAACGTTCCTGAACTTCTAAGTCCCTCTGAGGAGCCTGGACAAGGGCTTGTGTTCTCCTTGTGCTCTAAAATATCTTCCTCTTGACAGGTGGCTTTGGATGCGGTCACAGGCTGCTGGGGGATCAAAGTGGAGAGAACAGAAATGTAGGTAGGAAGTGGTGGTAGCAGAGACTTTCTTGCCCTTTTGCAAGTATCCATTCTGCTTTGCTCACATTTCTTCTTTACCCCTGGCCCCCTCCCTGCAGCTCTTCTGCAGCCCTCACCTCCTTGTTTTCACCGCCCCTTTCAAACCTCTGTCTCACATAAAACTTTCATGAGCAAAGATGTTACTTGCTCCTGCACTGACAGCCAAATGCAGAATCCTTAGCTGGAATCTCATTAACTCTTCTGCAGTTCTTTTAGCCTAAGAGTCATACAGGCAGTGAACATGCCCCCCAAAGTCCTCAGGGTCTTAGCAGTGGTTGGTCTCAACTCTCAGAAGCCTGTAGAGAAAGGTGGGACTTGCTCATCACATAGAGGGCTGTGGAAGAGAGAGCCAGGCAGCAGAGAAGCACATCTGTAAAGAGAAGGAAATTCCTGTGGCTGTCTTGAGAGCAGTCTCACAGTGGATCCTCTGATACCTCACAGACTTCATAAGCCTAAACTTCAAGCCTCAGAGACACAAACAGAAAAGGCCTCTCTGCTGCCTAGTGATTATGTACATCACTAATGATCTAGTTATCATTAGGATTATTTTCTAATGATTCCAGCTTGGATATGTACAAAATCAGGCTGGAAAAGAAAGATTGGAATAGAGGTAGAATACTAAAGGGAGTAATTTATAGAGGGACACGCAGAGAACAAAGGATGTTTGTGAACACCTCTGTAGAGACCAGTACTTGAGCCCATTCTAAGCCCTACAGGGCCAGCACAGGGCTGTCAGATGAGCCTAGAGCCCTTCTAATCCTTATCCTTCACTACCACAGCAACAATGTGCAGCTGCCTGCTGAAGTCCAGCAGTCCTTGGCCGTGGAAGCAGAAGCCCAGAGGCAGGCCAAAGTGCGGGTATGCGAACACTGAAGACCTCCCATCTCCTTCCAAAGCATCGCTCTTTCCTTTCCCCCACCCTAGTTTGAGGTCTTTGGAACATAGCACAGTAGGGTACAGCTCTGGGAAGATCTGTTCAAGATGTTCAGATCCTGTTCGAGAGCTGTGTCAAGCAAGATGAGCTGCAGCATGGGCCAGTGCAGTGGAATCCCAGATCTGGTACCTATGCACAGGTCAGAAAGACACATAAGAGGCTGGTGTCATCCCTGACCACAGTGCCTATGAAAACCTCTCCCTTCTCAGGGTTTCACTCTTGCTTGGAGACCCAGCCAGGAGGGCGGAGCTGGGCTGCCACTACTGTCATGTACCCCACACCATCCTTACCCTGGGCTGTCTTCCATACCTTACACTGAGCCTAGGTAGGATTTGTGTCCAAGTACCCTTCTTACAAGCTTAGCCTGTGGGCTGCCCTCTCACATGCTTTTGCAGCACACGTGCCCAGTTGTAAGCTCTGATGGAACTAGTAGCACCCAAAGTACACATAGCTTTGGTGAAAACAAGTTAGACGAGAGATCTAGCACATGCCACGATCAGAACAGCAGAAATGTTACAGGGGCCCCAGAAAGTTCATGGTGGCAACTTCCCTCTGTAATAAGTAGCCTATGCTGGGGCCTTACTCCCTGCCTGACAAAAATCTTTATTCTCCTCCTTGGTAGGTGATTGCTGCTGAGGGGGAGAAGGCGGCTTCTGAGTCCCTGCGGATGGCAGCTGAGATCCTGTCCAGTGCCCCTGCTGCTGCTCAGCTCCGTTACCTTCATGCACTGCACTCCCTTGCTGCAGAGAAACCCGCTGCCTTCATCTTACCCTTACCTTTGGATCCCACAAATCTGGTCTTTCCAGCTACCCGCAGCCCTCCAGGAGTGAGCAGCATCATCACAGACACCTCACAGCTCCCAGAAAGCATGAAAGACAAGAAGGACTCACCCATGCTGTAAGAGTTCTCCCAGAAATAGTTGCTATAAGCACTGGTTAATCCTGCTCAGAAAGGAGCAAGATGGCTGATCTATGGGGAGCCCAACAGCAGGTACTGGACTGGAGACAGGAGGGAAGGCAGCCCAGACCTGTAATATAAAAGTAGATTGTACACGAAAGAAGCTTCTGCTTGTTTTGGAAAGGGAAAAGTATGGAGCACAATGAGCAGTGTTGGTGCATATGTGAGCAGGGGACTGAGGGAGAAGTATCATCCCTTCCCTTTCACATCAGCTGATGCATCTTGACACAAAAGATCCCTGGGATCTGATCTGTCCTACCCTCATCACATTGGCAGGAAAGCCTGATAGCTTCCGTATGTTTAAACACCCCCATCTCCAAACGAACAGCCTGTCACACATCATTTGTTACAGGGAAAAATCCACAGTGGGATAAAAGAGGCAGGCACAGGTTGCCTCCTAGGAGGGAATGTATTATCAGAGGGCATTGTTTTCCAGTGTCCTTACACTCAGGCTTTTGGGGGTTTTCCCTTTCACAGTTTTGGCTGAAAAAGCCTTTTTTTTTTTTTTTATTAAATAAAAGCAAGTCCTGCAGCTGGGTGGTAAACAAAGCCAAGGCAGAAGTTCTTGGATAGGAACATGTTCCTCCTCACAGCCCACCTCTGCGTGCTGCATCCTGAGAAACTGGGAGCGGTTGGGTGCTACAGATGGGAGCTTTGCTAAGGTGCCTTTTCCTCTGTGTGAACTGGGGGAAAGACAACGGCCAGGCAGGTGGGGTGGGAGCCTGACAAATGAGGGAAATGGGAAGGGCTTAGCAGGTAATGCAGGTAATTACATGCACGTAATTTGGTAGGTGCTGCCAACCTGGTTCTCCTGCGACAAGAGAATGAGCCAGGTCTTGTCCATGGTGCACTGGATATAAGATTTCAGATGCCACCCATACATTATACATATTTATATATATATATTTATATATATTTATTTAGTAGGCAACCAGGATGTTTAGTCCTAGAGACTAAGGAGAAAAGCAGGAAAGTGGCAATGCTTGTGTCTTGCTTGCTTGTGTAGAGGGAGGAAGGCAGGCTGTGCTGCTACATGCTTCCACTGGGTGGTGAGACAGGACAAGATCTGAGCTTGTGAACCTCTGCTTCCAGCAGGACTGTCTGAAAATACAAGGAAGATGACCCATTTAGCCAACTCCCACTGAGCTGAGAAGTGGGAATCCAGCACTAAGCAAAGAGCCAGCTAAAAGCCTTGAGAACAGTTGTTTTGCCCACTGCAGCCACTTTACATACTGTAAGCTTTTACCTTGATAGACACGGGGCACTGCCAAACTCACAGGGAAGGAATGGAGAAAGTCCTCAAAATTCCTATAAGATTTTCCCTGCCGAAAGCTACTTGAAATAGCTTTACATACTGTAAGCTTTTACCCTGAAAGACCTGGGGCACTGCCAAAGGAAATAACACAGTGCCCTTGCTTTCTTTGCTCTTGGTTCCTTTGGGTGGACATCAACTCTGCTCTTCTCCTTTCACTTGACCTGCAGCATCTACTCCTGCTTCCAAGCAGATCTCCCTGGCATGCTGCTGGCCAGTAAAGGCCAAAGGAAATTTTGTGCCCCCTGCTCTTAATCGCCCACAGTAGATTCCCATCATCCGTGTGCCCAGCAGGGGTGGACCAGCCAGCTGCTCACTTTTGCTTTTTCATTCATTTTTCTCAGTCTCTCTTGGCCTGCTAGTTACATTCACACACTTGGCTCATACCATTAATTAAGAAAGACTTCTGGGACGTGGAACTGTGTCTCAAGGATGGTCTGCAGGTACTGGTTTAGCATTTCTACAAGGGACAAAGAGTCTACTTGAATAAGTATCAAGTAATTTTGTATTTAATCAGCTCTTTCCTCTCCATGAAATCTCCTTCTCAACACTCAGTGCTCCATGCATCTCACTCCACTAGTATTTGCTAGTCTTCTTGTGGCAGGGACTCTCAGTACACTAGTCTCCTTAGAGGTGGTTGAGAAGGGGAAAAAAAACAAAAAACCTCACCTGTGAACTTAGTGATCACACTGCATCTGAGCTCCAGATGTAACCTCACATCTGACTCATTCTACCACTGTAACTGCAGCTGGCTGGCTGCAGGATTCCATTGGCTGCTGCTTGTAGGTCTGTAATAAAACTCAGTAGTGATCTAGACACAGAAAACTAATTCTGGGAAGCTCTGTAATCTTCCACTGATGAACATGAGCTTTATATTTACTTCTCTGAGGCTGGTTCTGGTTTTTTTTTTCTCCTGATGCTGGAATAAGCCCCTGCTTCCCAACCAGAGCAAAAGGGTGTAAACACCACACAGAGTGACCTACAGATGATCCTTTCTCTGAGCACTTCTCTGGCCATATTTCTAACTTCATGTGAAACGATCCAATCAGACCAAGATTCCTTGGCACATCAAGGACCACCACCTCTGCAAGTAACGTCTGAAAGGAACAGTGCTTGGCCAGAGACACGTGGTATGAGGCCAGGGCACACATTACCCTATTTGCACTCATTTTCAGAAGTCAGGTGCATCTTTCTTCAAACATGCAACTTTTCTACAAAGTTGCAGAAAAGGCAAATGACAGCTAATTGCTTCCTCAGTTCCAAAAAATCCTTGTTCCAGCAGGATTTTCTCTCTTTAACGTATACAGAGTTGGCAGAAACTTGTAATTTTACCTTCAGGAGGTATAGACTCAAAACCTCAAAGGAAAACATCATTTAAAAATGTGCTTCAGTGTTACTGATATATGGTAGGTTCCATAATAGAATTTACTCCAGGGGAATTGGCAGGGGCTGTTTGGAGCAGACATGATTCTTGACAGCTTCAGAGCTGAGACTGGGTCAAACCTCAGAGTCATGCCAAATCCAGGCAGCTGCTCCTCTCCTGGCAGAGCTTTGTAACTACTCAGATTATCCCAGGCTGGTGCCTGACTGAGGCAGAAGCCCTGGGGACCACCTCTGTGGGTGGGTTGGCTTTTTCAGGTTGCAGGGGTACTGCATGTGGGTGTATCAGCATACAGAGAAGGTGAACAAGCCGTAGAGATGCTAGAGCTGTGGGGGGAAGCAGAGCACAAGACAGGTGTGGAAGTGGTAGAACCAGCTAGAAGAACAACACAAGTGCTCAGATGGCAGAGAGAAGAGTGGCTAATATAGAATAAAGGCAGTGGACTGGAATGAGAAACTATTCTGAATAGTCACCAAGAAACTGCTCAGGCATTGTTATTTTTTATTTTTTGCTTTTTCTGGATTGCTTGTGCTGGCCAGAGGTGGAAGTTTTGGGAGTTGAGCAGGCTTCCCCTTCAGGCAGGCTTTCTTGTAAACATTTTTCTGAAAGGAGAAAAAAAAAAAAACAAACAAAAGCCTTTAAAATGCAGAGTAAATATGTTTAAAGTATTTTAAACAAATTAGTCTCTCTTCTTACTTTGATATCAAAGAGAATATACACTAGAGTGTTAAGAGGAGATGTTTTAATTCCCACTTATTCTCCTTCACATCTTATTTCTGAGCAGATCCAGCCGAGAAAGGAAATATATTCACTTACAATAAACATGCCTCCTAAAGAACTGACTGCCACACCTCGTGGGCAAAACCAAGCCATCAGCAGCTGAAGACAGCAAGAATGGCCTCTGCTACAAACACAAAAGGTATGTGGGATATGAAGGGACCTAAACATTATTTCTTTTCTACCCACAAATCAGCGATTCTAAACAGACCTTGACTGTAACAGTACTGAAAGGGAAGGTGAAGCCAATTACAGTGACATCTAATATCTAGAATATATGTAGGCCTGGTGTCATGTGGCAAAATCAAAATTATTTTATCTCAAAAACAGACAGAGTTCAGCAGTTCTTTCTGACCCAATCTGGAATGAGAACAAAAGCCTCCCTGCTTAGCTTCTGACAGCGAGTCAAGACAAGACCCTGGGACGTGCTCAGGAAGAAAGGAGCATGTGCTAAGTGGGACATGAATGAGGTATCCTCAAAAATTGCTTCCTACTCTGAGTCCAGGAGAGGTTCAGATCACTGATTATCCTGACCTTGCCCTTCTTTAGGTGTTGGTTCTGGGACGACTTTGCCCCTTTTCTCCAGCTCACTCTCTAGCTCCTGGATTCTCTCCAGGGCTTCTTCCAGCTTCTTCTCAAAATCTTCAGATCTCTGCTCTGCATTCTGAGCACGAATTTCTGTTTCTCTGAAACAAAGAAGCAAAGATAATGCTGAAACTTGAAATCTAAGCAGGTGCTGGTAGAATACTTAAAAGAAAGATTTAGAAAGCTGAAACGTGCAGTGGAATTGAACAATTCTATAAAATACAGTTGTGGTTTCATAGAAGGGCATTGTAAGAGATGGAGACATCATTGCACAGCTATGCAAGCCTGCAAAGTGAATTCATTTTAAACTCAGCGTTTGCTAACAAAGTGCTAAAAGTATCACATCTTTAGCTAACATCACAATCAACAGTTTGAGACAATCAGAAGAGAAAGAAACCCAAAACTAAGCTAACAGAGATGGCTGAAGCAGAGCCTTAATCAGAAAGCAGAACAGATATAAATGGAATCCTGCCTTGTTTATCCCTCCAGCATTGGACCAGTACTCACATAAGCTGCACTTGCAGGTGTTCCAGCAGTGCCAGGGCTTCAAACTCTTTCTGAGAAAAGGGAGTTGACGACTTGCTGGCAGTCATCTCTCTCTGGTTGGAAAGAGCACAATCTTCCATAAGTGAACGTGAAACCAACAATGCTGCATTTCATCTAGAATATGGCTGGACACTGCTGGTGTCTCTGTACATGGTCACCACACAGACAAGAGCTCAGTATCCATAAATCATGTAAAACCAGAGGTTAAGTCAAGCATTTTTTTTTTATTGGATCCAATCATGTATTGACATTAAAAATAGACTAAAATCACTTCCTGATTTGGACATAAATATCTCACTTGTACTTAGTCTTGGTTGCATGATTGCCCATGCACCACTGGGTTACAGATGTTGGAGATGGCTGTAGCCTGACCAGGAGCGAAGTAACTAACAACCAATGGCCAGAGGCAGCTCCTCAAATTGCCCAGCAGGCATTAGTTTTCTTCATTTGAAGAAAAGAACCAGGACTTTTATGGAGTCCCATTAAAAGACTCCTGATCTAAGCTTAGTAAGGTTACTATGATTTCCAGAGATTCATTTTTACTAACCAATCTAAGTCCATAAAGAAACACTCCTGAGTCTCTCACTATCACCTACTATCTCTCACTACCTGCCTGCCTCTAAAGCATTGAGAGCAAGGCACACTTACCAATGCAGCATACTTAAGGAGTAGCAATATCCACTGACAGTTTGCTAAAGCTCCACAGTTCACATACATCTGGGCTCTGCTCTGAAGGTCTGACTAGCTAGGAAGTGACTGGAGAAGGCAAACTGTGTGACTTCTGAAGAGCAACTTTACAAACTGATGCCTTTAGCCTGGACTACTCTTCCAAAGAGTACAATCCCAAAGGTAAGTGGAAAAAATGGAGACCCAGGAGGCACAGTTGGCCAAAAGCAACCTGAACTTCTTGCACTCCTACTGTTCTGAATATCCCTGAATCTCTTCTTCTGTGTATTCAGCACCATATTATTTTTACCATCCCAGGAAGTGCTGGCAACACTCAGTCTCTGATAATAGTCCTAGTTCAGACTACACACATCACCTGTGACTGGACCCAACTTCATGGTACGGGGCAGAAATGCATGAGCCACGTGGATGAACTGAGGCAGCAGAAATTGTGCTAATGAATATTTTGTAGTGGCAAGAAGAGAGATTGAGAACACCAACACCTTTCACTCATGCAGCAGGTCCGATATAAACATTAAACAGTGTCTGACAACAAATAGACAGCTAAAACCCAGCTCCAAATCTCTGCCACATGTGCTAAAAACATTAGTGTAGTGGAGATTCCTACCTCTGTAACTGAAATGATGTCTGACTTCAAGGACTTCAGGTGGATGTTGGAGTCTTGTCCTACATATCTGATCACATCTGTAGTAGCTTCATCACCCTCACTCATATCATCTGTACCAGCACCTGGTTGCTCCTAAGAGAGAAAATGAACAAGAAATAGGAGAAATATCACTAGCTTAGTGACACTGTAGGTAAAAGGCCACGTTTCCCATCACGTGCACCAAGCAATAAAAAAATCCCAACTCTGCTGGAAAGTAGCATCTTGCAGCTACTACTGTCACCTGCATAAGGACGATTTTCTCCTTTACTGTTGATGTTTCTTTCTCTGTTATTTGTTTCTTTTCGCTGTTGGCATCATCAGCTTTAAGCCCTTCTTGAGTTGAAGAAATGATAGTGTCCTTAAGTTTCAACTCCAATTCCTGTAAGGCACCACAATAATTTGGTTAGTACCAGAAGTCCCTTTTGTCCATCCAAATAACCAAGGCAAAATGGCTGGTCTCTGACTTCCTCTTGCACACATTTAAACTTGGGCTTCATATATCTCATAAGCAGGACCCACTATGGTATATTTGCTTTTTATAGGCCATTGTATGAGGGGGAAAAAAAAAGGGCAACACATGGCCTACAGCAGTGGCAGCATACTGTAGTACTGCCATACTTGTCATAAGTACACAGTTACTCACGACAAACATCACTCTGCTTGAGGACTGAATTGAGAGCTGATGCAAATAATTTGTGCATCATTTAGGAATAGGAAAACTATTTCCTTGTCATCTGAATTTAGGTTATGTATGACGTTACATCAATGCCAGGCCAGCCATCTATAAAACATGTAATTGTCACAGGCAGTGTCAGACACCCATTTCATATAAAGAATTGACTAGAAGTTCAGCCTGATTTGGGCAAGCCAAACAAGAGAATTCCAGCTTAAGTCCACGCCAAAGGATGAAGCGAAAGCTAGCAGGCACCATGCTGAACTGTTCTACCAGTGCAGTAATACCTCGTAGCTACAGTGAAGCTTCAGTTTTGCCTCAGTAATACCCTCACAAGAAGCACAGTGATTTTTAACCAGTTTACAGTCTTCATTCTTCAAAGCTTTAACTGCAGCTTTGAGTACATGGAGGTCTCCGTACTGGATCTTCGCTCAAATTGAATCATAGCTGCTTGCTTTAGAAATTTTAAAGCAGATCTTCATTCAAACTGGTTCAACGTAGAACAGCAAATGCAGTCAATATGTGTACCTCTGATCCAAAGAGGTTTCTCAGTTCTTCTAAATGCAGAAAGGAGACTGGAGTGCCTTTGATCTCTGAAAGGATAAGGCTACACACTTGAATCCAATTACAGCACTCAGTCTGAGAAGACATAACAGAAAAAGAGGCATTATTGATGAAAAAAAAAAATAAAAAAATCTGTGATTATAATTATTCAGTCAGTTAAATAATTCCATCTATCTTTATCTGTTCCAGGGACATGAATGGACCCTTCCATTCACACCTCACAGAGCAAATGGAAGACATTTCTCCAAGCTTCCAGATATGGTATCCATCACTGTCTAATTACTCAATTCTTTCAACAAGCTCCACCTCAGGCCAGCAGAGAAGGTCTCTGTCCCAGCCCACGTGGGGAGAACTGAAGGAAAATCTGAAAGTTTACTTTTTTACTTGCAAAGCTAACATGGAACAGAAACTTTCCAGTCCCTGAAAAGAAGCTTCTTGAATTCCTTGTAAAAATCTCATCTGTTCTGTGCTCAGTGCAGTGTTAGGCTTTAAGAAGGGTCTACATCTCAGGTTCCTAAAACACAGACAAAGCTTAACTAAACACTGAAGATGACAATGGTAGCAATTACCAGAGGAAGAAACGTACACGCTATCACACTCCTTGCACTGCTTCAAATAAAGATGCCATCAACACACACTTTCAGTAAGAGCTCCAGTATAGAGTCAAGGAGACAGAAGGTAGGCTAGCTGACAGCAAAACACTTCAACAGAGTCTGTATAATGGTATATTGCACCAAACACCTCCAGAAACTCCCAAGCACTGCTCAAATCTCAATTTACATGGCTCTGACAAGCTTTAACGTAGAGATGAATCTGCTGCCATTCATACAGAATAAATCTAGCAGGATATCCTGAAATGAGATAAGGAAAGTGTTAAAACTGAGTCATGTTCAGTTTTATCCACTTTCCACTTTCGTGGAGTCAGTAGGCAATTTGAGGGATCAGGAGTAGTAAGAATCTTCCTCCTTGAAAATCATCACATTTATTTTTCTCTGCCTTTCACAAAGCAAATGTGGTCTCATCGAGGTACAGACCTAGACAGCTGGAAACATAGTGGCCTTTTACCTTGAGTTTATCCAGCTCCTCTAGCTCAAAATCAGCTTCTGCATCCTTCTCTGACCGTTTCTTCCGAACAATTGCGCTGACAATCTCACGGCAGCAGCTGCAAAGATGGAGAATGTCGTTGACACTGTAGGAGTGCCCTCAAATGCTTTCTGCCTTTCAGTCAGCATCCCATTGCTGTCAGCAAGACGTACAAGCTACCTATAGAAGACTTCTGCACCAGAGAACAATCCTCACCTGCACCACTCACACAATGACCTCCCAGGCAGCTTGTTTGTGCCTGTACTGTACTAGCCCATAGAGGAAATAAGAACACAGATGCAGGTTTTGCTCCAGGTGACCTGGACTGCAGACTCACTGCCTGTACTGCTTTACATCCTCCAGAGGTGATGCTCAGAAGAGTAGACAGAGCCCACAGAGTTACAGATGCGTGTTTTATAGCAGTACCAGGTATAAAGCAGATACTGTCATTCTCTTTAGATACACCTATCTTATGAGGCTCCCTCCAAATACCAGTAAGGACCATTTAGAACCTAGGAAAAGATCTAAGGAAAATCAAATTGATCAGATCTGCTGCCTCGAGGAATCTCTTGGCACACTACACATTTTTCTTTAATTAGCCTCCTTTAGTCCAAATTGAAAATCTCTGTTCATACCTGACTACAGAACCAGACAGTCCACACATCTTGGCAATCAGCTTTTCTGCTTCTTCCTGTAGTTCCTGAGCACTCTGAAGACTGAGCTCCTTGCCCATCTCGAAGTCTGCCTCTTGCTGCTGGGGACACTCAGAGGACAAGCGATCCGCTATCACGTATTGCAGCAAATTCACCAGCCACAGGGTCAGGTTCCTGTGCAGTTCAGTCACCTGCACAAAACATCAGAGCAAATCTAAACCAGTAATAAGTGAACGATCTTATCAAGTAGTCTGAATTCAGTGCGTTTCACTTAAGCCAATATTCTACCCTAACTCAAGCTGACCTAGTAACAGAAACATTGACCCATATTTTTTTTCTCCCATATTCATTCCTGTTACCAATAAATATTTTCCTGCTATGGATCTGTCTTTCTGCAAAGTGTTTGTTCAGCAACATGAGCTCTTTATCAGCTATGGGGCATTCTTGTCCATATTTCAGCAGCAAACCAAAAATCACACATCGTGCTTGCAAAACATTTAGAAGATACATTGTGAGAACCTCACTAACACAAACACACACAAAAAAACCATCAAAAACAGAGAGCTAGCAGCCAAAACAGTTCTCTGAACAGAAAATGTCAACATTACTCCAGAGGGAAAGCTTGCTAAAGATTAGCAAAACATAATTCTGTTGATTCACTCTTTAGTGCACTATTTTTAGTAGTCTTGATATGTTCCCCTGGCTGGAAGACAGAAAGCCGCAGCTCAAACAAGAAAGAAGGTGTTAAAGGAGAAGCAGGCTTTCCTCTCAGCTGTGGTCTGTCCAGACAAAAATTGGAGGAAAGAGCGAATCCTAAATACAGTGCTTTACTGGCTTCCACTTACTTCTTCGTTAAGATGCGTGGTGCTCTTCTCAACCTCAGTATTCACGGACAAAATCCATTGTTGAATCCTCTTAAGAAATTCTCTAGGTACCACCCTTTAAAATAAATAATGCAGAGACAAAGTGACATCTAATGCACCACACCCAGGGATCTCCTGTCTCAAAGACACCTTTGTTCCCAGCTCAAGGAAAATAACATTTAGCACACCAGATGCTGGGGACATGACGCAAGCAGTTTTATTAACACTGTGGTTGTGGGCAAGCTTGTCATTTGCAAATAATCTCTAACATATATGTTATGCATGTGCTCTGCAAATACTTTACTTCCTGATGATATTTGCCAAAGACAGAGCACGACGAGAAGAATGCCCCCACAAATCTGCCTGTAAATTAATCACAAATTGTAGTTTTTTTCTTCAAATGCCACCATCTTGAAACAGGTGGCACTCAGTGATGTTCCAGGAGTTACATTGTAGCCACCAACTGTCTCCACAGATACTGCCAAATGGAAGCAAATGGCCAAATCACAGCAAATGAAAGGCAGCCACCAATCATTTTAACACTTCAGCTGATCACAGTTATCCCACTGCCAGTTTCTTGTGCCAGAGTCCCCACAAAACAACATTTTTCTTTTCTTATGCATGTAGTTTCATGTATAAGGCACAATTAACACCTTTGTCCTTACGGGAAATGCAGTTCCGTATCACTTTCAGCTTTATGCAACTGACTGGAGCCTATAATGCTCATTAATGCATCCACTTGGGCCAACCATGAAGGAATCATGTGATAAAACGCCTGCAGTTCAGTTTCATGCATGCCAGAACCTCGCTTTAGCTTTTGCGCCTTGAGTAACCAATCTTCCATGCTTCTCACCAAGACTGTCAAAAAACTGGCTGTGCCTGGAGGGGAAGAAAATACAAACCTTTAATTACGTTCTTTCAGCCAACAAAAACAAGGCTCAATATAAAGACCTTTGCCAGGAGGGATGAACAGCCTATGTGAGATCTGGCTATACTTAGTGCTAAGAATAAACTGTTTAGGAAGCACTGAATTAAAAGCAAGTTGGAAGAAAATCTGCTTGATGTGAAGCTGACTTTCTTTCTTGTCTTGACAGATTTGACTTGTTGCATAAAGAAATGTGATGGCTTAATAGGACTCTTACAAAACGCTCTGTAGTTCTCTTCAAAAGAGATACAACATACATAGATATTAAAAAATACCTGGATAAAACAGTAAATCACATGTTCATTCACTCATCTGGCATACGCTGATGGATATTCTTTGATTCCTGGAAGTATGCTTGAAATTAAGGTTGCTCCTGATGTCCAGTGTTTAGTCTTTAAATCCTGCTAAAGTCCTGGTCTTCATGACATCTTGTTTCAAAGATAGCACGTTACACGTGTGGAGGTAATTACCATTTTTGAGACATTTTAATGACTCAGTTTCCCCACTGTACTGCTGTGGTATGTTAACTTCTACTCTGGATTATTTGTCATGCAGTGAAGCAATGTTTAGATGTTCGGACTGGTAAGAAAGGAAAGAAGTTACCTCCAAAGGTTGGATGGTACCAGAACATACTGTGAAAGCCCCACAACTAGACAAATTTGCTTTGGGAAGACTGCCTTTATCTTATAGTCAGGTCTGCAGCAAAAGAGAAGAGCTAGCAGGATCTCAATGGAGAGGTCGCTCTGGTCCCAGTCACCAAGTTCAGAGTCAAAAACTTACCAAAAAGGTATAACTTCAAGAAATGATCAAGGAAGAGCAAAGGTCTTAAGTGAAAATTTATAAATTTTAGTCTCATATGTCGTTGTTCTCTTTGCATCTTTATTCCTTGTCAACAAATACTGAACCTTTTGTATTTCTGTCACGTGGTGCTTGAGATCAGGTAACCTGAACTTAGCAGATAATAAATATTTCAGGTAAATGAGTATCATTGCCTTACAGAACAAAATTACAATAATTACCATGTTTTGAGTATTTTTTCTCATCTATTTCTTATAGCCACTTTCTTTTTCACCTTTTTTTTTTTTTAAACTGTAGCTGCATTGTAAAGAGATGGAATACCCTGTCTCTTCTCATAGGCAGAAGAGCAGAAATGAGTCCAAGCAATTCAAATACACTGCCTTGTATGGAGGAAGAGAATACCTTTACTGAGATCCAGTTCCCAAAACCTTTGTTAAAATAAGCTAAACCTCCTTTTTCTGGACTTTACTGATGGAAGCAGTTCTGTATCAGATGTCAGCACTATGCCACATAAACCTTTGTTCAGACCACTAATAAATACAAAGACTTCTGACAGCCTGCCATTAACTTTTTGCCATGATATCTGGCCAGTTACGTCCCTGCTTCTTTTTCCTTTTACTTTTTAATGAGAACTGCTAGGAGTATTCACTTCTTTCAGCTGTCTTTTAGGTTGGACAGACTTAACAGTATACTGTCTCTTTTAGCAGAAATATACAACACAGCATAAAACATAGGGTAACATTATGAAAGACTAAGATGACAGAATGAGAAGGAGCTCGGAAAACATGAGCAGCAGTTCTGGACACATATTCAGTTTAGTCTTCTAAAAGAAAAGAAGATGATTAAAAAAAAAACCACCAGAGATGAAACAATTCTGAAACCAGAAACGAGTCAAGGCCTAGGAGAGGCAAATGTTGAAAAAGTTGGTTACAAATGTTTGTTATCTTAAGCAGAACGTGATAATTTTATATCAGCAAGAAAAATATTTATTTGCATAATTTATTATCAGTATAAATCAATATCTAAATTTAGATAACTCTGTTTTAACGATAAGGTAATCAAAAAATATTACCCTCTGAAACAGTATTATCAGGTTAATGAACTCTAAAGTGACATTTTGCTTTAAAACTTAAACATCTATTCTTTTATTGTACATTCGCTTTCTTTTCCACACATAATTCACGCAATCACAAACTACACATGCTCTGAACTTAACACAAGTACTGCAATTTTCTTTGATTGTATTGCACTGCATTTCAGATTCCAGATATTCTTTGTGCGATCAGGAGCCAAGTTTCTCAGAGTTCATACCTCCCATTTTTTGGTTACTGAAACATACGTAGGGATCAGACATAGTCTTTGCAAAAAAAATCAGAGCAGATTATACTAACTGGTCCTTTATTACCTGCTACTTCCCTGGCATACCCTAAGAAAGACTGAACTGCAAAATTGGTTATTTCTTACCATTATTCCCACTTATCCTTATGTTATATTGCTGATAGAGTTCACGTGCACTTTGGTTTATTTCTTCCAGGGCAGTGAGCTGTGGAAGCAATGCTCCAGTTAAGACCCGGTGTCGACTCAGCACCGTTTCTCCCAGCTCTGTCCAGTGTCCCTGTATCCTGGCAGCACTCCTGAGGCTTTCAGTCTTGGCTAGATATGTCTCCCCTGCATACAGCTGCACATCTTCCTTCAGCATCTGAAAAAAAAGCAACAGGCTTACTGTGTCCCCAAAAGTTGGACCACTCCTTGGCTGTGATGGAAAGGTGATAGAAATCAGGTACGAGAATAACAAGGAATTCATGAACATGTCATAGTAAGTACAATAAGTTGGAAACTTACTCCATGAAGCTGACAACTGTGAATGCTTCTACAGATTAATATAATCTATCAGTCACCAGAACTGGCAGTCAGTGCTCAAGTGTGGGTAAGCCTAATGGCTGAGCTGCAGTATTGGGCAGTTGCAACTTTTCATGTGTAGATTCTTGGTTGAAGCTTCAGAACAAATGATGTCAGTTGATTTGTGATGGGCATAGATACTGACAGCAAGTGGTCATTTGCTGAGCATATACCATTTAGTAGTATGCCCAACCTCCAGAAATCTTACATTTATTAAGAGCTTCGTATCTTCTAAGATCTCATCCAATAGCTCTTCTTTCATCTGAAAAGAACTAAGCAGAAAAAAAGAAGGCATGAGAGCTGAGAGAAAAAAAATCCTGTAGTGGTTTATGCAAAACCAAGGTCAAGATACAATGTACGCATGCCAAGTTTGTGACACAAATTATAACTTGGGGAAAAAAAAAAGCCAAAAACACCAAGTCTTACTTAGCTGGTAAGGCTAAGTCACTCAACATAGCGCAAACACAACTGTAGTTAAGAAAATCAATTATTAACATACGAATGAAGTATGGAAAATAACATCTTTTGTTAGTGCAGACAGTGTGCATTTCTGGATTTTGCACTTGCATTTGTCCTTTATTTAATATATCATGATGGACTAACAAAAAGTCTGCAAAATATACATTAATATACAAAAAGACCTTGCATTTGGAACCTCATGTGCCTTACAGTCTCATTTTGTATCTTTACTGCTCTATTGAAGCATCAATACAAGTGCCATGAGTGTTAAAATGAACCAAACTAAACAGAAGAATTCTGTCATGGCAATCATATCTGTAAAAAGAGAACTCTGGCTCCTAGCAGAAGGGTAAAATCCTTGCCCTAATGGAGTCAGCAGTAACCTCACCACTGAATTCAGCCACAAACACACAGCATCACTTTGGAGCTACCACTAAGGACCCAATTATCAAAATAAACATGTCAATCATAAAAGCAGAGCAGCGAGGGATATGAAAAATGAAGATTGTAACAAATCTCACTACATCTGAGTCAGGAATTCTGAGCATGCTTTGACTTGTGCCATGGGGCAAAGGGGAAATGACTACTACTCCCAGTCCCTCAGAGCCACTCACAAGTTACTGTGTTGGTACTGAAGCCACTTGTTGAGTTTTCTGAGCACAATTTGCAGTTTTTCCTTGCTGGACTCCTCCAAATGCTCTGTCTCTGCTCCAACATGACCTAATATTCCTTTGAACTGCTCGGTCTCCTCCTGTAGATCAGCAAGGTCTCTCAGATCCTGCAGCCATTGAATGGCAAAAAAAAAGTTGTAACTGTTTTGATCTGAGTTGAAGGAATTCTCCCTTCAGTCTAGGTGTTTTGAGTTATATCTATATATCAGAGATCTGGGAAACAACTCCTTTCATGCAGGACTAAGTTGGCTCACACTTCCCAGGCATTCCAGAAGTGAGCACTTGACTGTCTGCTGCTTATATGCTACACAAAGACCATGCAACTATACACCTTCAAAGACAAAATTTCACTAACCTGCATCTGTTTGGTTTTATGGCGATGGAACAAGAGAGGGAAGAATAACATGAAGAAGGAAAAGAAGAGGAAAAAGAAAAGCTTGAGGTAGAGGAAAGAGGATATGGAATAATGAGAAAGGGAACTGGAAAGACAGTGAGTGAATTCAAGTTTTAACGCTTGTTCAAAACTAGATCAAGATTTAAAAGTTCTAGTAACAGCAGAAGCACTGAATGCTTTACTGAGTATCAGTGCTACATGCACCACACACACAAACACTTCAAACAGGTACCCATGGCAGACAAGTCCTACCTTTGAGGCCAGAAGGACTATGAAATGCTTGAGAACTTTGGTCAGAGCCTTCCCACTTATATGGAGCCTGCGAATCAATGTGAGCTGGTTTCTTTCTATTATCTGAAAGAAACGTTATTTTCACTGTTGTCTTTTGAGAGAAGGGACATCTGATAGTAACGTGAAGCTCTACCATCAATGAAATAGAGTGCAAGCAGATGAAGCCACTTACCTCAGAAATAAACTTCTTACCCACAAGGCAAACCAAGAAGGTAGGTCTGCTAATAAATTTGATACTTTATCGAGGAAAAAGTAAAAGATCACAAACAAGAAAAACACACAAGCTAGGAAGCAGAGTTACCCAAGAATGCTATTTTGTGAAGCTTAAAGAATCTGGCTACAATATTCCAAGTTATGGGGAAGAAGGAAACTTTTCAGTCAAACTCATCTCCAACTGGAAATATTCATTTCGTAGTTCTTCCTGCACAGAATCTGAAGGCCTGCACTAAAAATGCTGTGTGAATCAGCTGGAACAAACCAAACAAAACATGAAATACAACAGTCCTCAGAAAAGGAGGGCAAGAGACACGTTAGCACCCAATTAGATTAAACACAAACATTCTTTGGGATGAAATTTGCTTTTGGAACAAGTCTGCCTGCTGTGATGGTCTATACTTTGCAGTGTATCACTGACCTCCCATACTTACCATCAGAGCAAGGTTACATGCAGCTGAGCTCCAGATGTCTCTCTCTTGAGCTACCACCAGAACCTGGTCTTCCAGCCTTCTCCTCTGTAACTCGTATAACTCTCGATACTGTTCCAAAAGGCTAGAAGGAAAAGACAATGAAGTTTGTCCATGCTTCTTATTCACGTTTATTGTGTTCCTCCCAATTCCCAAGACATTTCATCTCCCTCTTTCCTTCCTTGATCACCTTCCACATAGTGCGTGAATTCACGGTTCCTTTACCCTGAGCTGCTACAACACCATTGTGTTGATATCCTCTAGCCAGTATTCTTACAAATCTCTGTTGGATCTAGACTATCTGCTTTCTTTGTAACACAAGATTCCTGTAAGTGAATCCCAAACGCCCAACACAAATCTGATACCAACCACCTCAATACTTAGGTTTTTTTTAGGTATCTGAAGATGTCTACAGCCCCATACAAGTTCCAAGCCGCAGGCTCTACTTGACTATGAGCTTACCAGCTAAGACTGTAGGGTGAAGAGGATGGCAGCACCTGAGCAACAAATGCAACTTCTGTGATTTAAAACTAGAAGAATTTTAGACAGCTTCTTGTCCCTTTGAGGAGTTCAGGGCTTATAGAAAAATGACAGTATTTGTCACAAAGAGCCAAGCTCTCTTCCTCAGAAGGAAATCTGTCCTTCTTCCCAAGCCAGGAGAGTGATACCAGCACGCTGCAGAGATCTCCCAACCTCAGCTTTGAAAGCAACTTACTTTGCATTTGCCTCTGCCTCTTGCATGGCTGCAGCTAGTTCCTTTTGAACTTTTTCTGCTTCTTTGGTCACCTTGCAGTCATGTTCTCGTACCTCATGTAGTTCGCTGAAACAGCAAGGAACAGCCTAAATAAACTTAGCCCAGCCCAGTCTCTGCTCTGCTAAACACAGACTGCTCTCACCATACACAGACAGCTATAGAGTTTCTATTTCTATAGAGTTGAAAAGCATTTTGAAGACCTCTTATTCCTGCACACGCAGATTGCTCCCACAATCCCCTTCAGTGCAAAGTGTAAAGGAAAGCAGGTGGTTTAACCCTTATTCTGTGCTTCCATGCTGCACAGCTGACAGTAAAAACAGACTAATGGTGTGAGGAGGCTGAAGCGCAGTCCCTGTAGCTCTGGCTCAAATAAGAAAAATAATTGCCTGCTCCTATGGAAGGAAGATTTGAAAACTGAACAAAACCAGTATGCTAAGCTTAGTGCATTGAGATAATTTTTTAGGATGAGGAAGGATTCAGACCTGGCCAGCTGTGCAACACACTCCTTAAAATAGAGTAGTTCTTCTGTAATATGTCTGTCAACCAGTTGCTGAGCCATCATTTTTTTGTAGAGTGTCTTCATCTGCTGAGGAATACGCTCCAGGAGATCCACATACCTCTGTCTTCAGTAAAAATAATAAAAATAGAAATTTAAAAATAGAAATTTTCCTGAAAGTGAAGATCTGAAAACCATTCCTTTCACTGCACAAGAGCGCATCTAGAGGGCAATCTTCTGACTGTTCGGACTTGGGATTTAAAAAACTCTGGAACAATGTAATTGCTACAAATACTGGTAATCCGTGTGTGAGGTGGAAAAAGAGCAGAGGAACCCCAGCTGTGAGAGTAGTTCCAGCTATTCCACACGTGAAAAGTTCCATTAAATGTCACACCCATAAGGTGCCCGCATTGTCAAGTGTTGTGTCAAGGGTTCAAACTCCTGGTTATGTAACAGTGGTCCATTAGTACTGGTTGTTAACTAGGCAGGGCAATCCTATTTCACTTCTGGCATCAGACCCCGTGCCAGTGACATTGTGACAGGCTAGCTTTGTTGGGCAGTGACATTAAGAAAGATCTGCAATCTGCAAAGATCTAGCTAATGCTGCTCCTGAGAGGATACTGCCACAAATCAAGAGGGGGATTAAGGGTGCTTGGCAAATGACAACCTGAGTTTAGAAAGCAGCTGTCCTCTCTCCTTGCAGTCCACGCTGACCTGCCGAATCATCTCATGGAAAACTACATTGTAGATGTTCTGCTCTGCCTTCATCAGCTCCAGCATGCTGTGCAGCTGGCAAAACAGACGAGACAAACACCAGCCTTGCAGAGACTGGCAAATCTCCATCATCAACTGAGACTGGCACAGCACACTAAATTTTTCTGAACCTAATTTCCCTCTTGAAGAGGTAATGGGGAAGGGGAAGAGAAAGAGCCAACCTGCACACATTCACAGGTTCTTTTTCAAATTTGTTTTGGCTCTGTCCTCCCATTAACATCTGTGGGAGCTTTTCTGCTAACTCCAGCAGGAGTTGATATTGAAGCAGTGCTATACATTTTTCAAAAATCCTACTTTGTCCATTTAAACCTTCCCCGTTACTGTGCAAGAATAATAAAAAGTAAGCCCAAGCAAAGTATAGAGATTTTTTGGCAAATGAAAGCTTCCAAAGATCCATTTTTAAACACAGCAGCCTGTCTGCTAATGAGGAGATGAGATAGCCACTGCTTTATTTCCTCCATAGTAATGCCAGACGATTCCTTTCTGGCATTTTTGCAGCTGCTTGTTCTTCAAGGATCAGACAAAGACAACCAGAAGCTCAAGAGAGCGATCTCTCACCTATGACAGCACCTACAGACAGATGGCCTGGGCAAAAAGTAACTGCTTGGAGGCATCTTAAGCACAACTGAGACAAACACTAGGGAAAATAATATTATTTTTCTGGGTATGAGTGAGTTATCCACCTGTGAAGGTCCTGTTACTCCAATCAGCTCATCTACTCCAGCTTTTTCCAGCATGCTGTCCATTGCCTCCATCAGCTGTATGACCTCTAACCTCCCGGAAGGTTTCCTGACAGACCAGAAGAGAAACATCATTATTCTACACACTATACTATGGGATTTTCCCACAAAATGGAATTCAAACTGTGGCATGATGTTTTGGTTTGGTTTTTTCCCCAGTATAAACTTGATTCAGGGTACGTACATGGATGGGAACAGACGTAGTCTCTTTTCGCTGTCTTCAAGCAGAGTTGTGTATTTACTAAAAAAAAAAAAAAAAAAAAAAAAAAAAAAAAAAAGATAAAAGTTGAATTATAAAACAGCCCTTCCAGTGCTAAGGATTCCTGCGCTTTAATTCAATCTCTATGTCCCACATACAGTAAGATAGGGAAAGAAGTGTGGGGTTGTGCTCAGTGGGAGCATCCAGAGCCTGAAGTCTGACCTCCCGCAGCTGTTCATGCAGCTGATACACCAACAGAAGCTCCTCCTTGCCACCAAAATCTTGTAGGAACACTGGAGGTACCCAGCAGCACTTTGGAGTAAAGCTTTGTAAACGAAATTCTAAACTTACAGCCTGAAAAACTGAAGATCCCAAGCAAACAAACAAACCCACACCAGAATGGTCAGCTCCAAGAGTTAGCAGGCCTGTATAGCTCCAGTGAGAATAAAAACTACCCTGGATCTGCCCAGTGTTGCTACAGAAAGTAATTCTAGAGGCTGGTTAGAAAAACAAGACTAATCAAAACCACAAAAACAAACAAACAAACAAACAAAAAACACAAGTTGCAACTTCCAAAAGTTTCCTCAAGAGATCAAAAGAGACTTCAGCTTCTACATTCATGTTCAAATAGGGAAACATTTAGTAGTAATAGCCTACAGAAAATCCTCCTTTACCCTTCCTCAAGCAGTAGAGGCAAAGCAAAGGTGGCTCACATTGCTCTGGCTGGCTGAATGCAGCCTTACCATTAGTGTGGGATTTGTAAAGCCACCTTCACTTTTCTTTTTTTATACACTCTCCTCAATTGAAAGAAGTTCATTTTTCCAGCGTTCTCAGCCTATTAGCATTTTACCCCTCCATTCTGAACAGCAGAAGCTCTACAACTTGAAGGCAAATCCTGGTCAATCAGAAAGCACTTACTCATCAAAGTACTTCAAGGGCAGAACTCCCTGCTTTCTCACGATGTGAAATTCCTCAGGAACCAGACTATCTGCTAGGGTTGCTTGCTAGGGATAGAAAAGAGAAAGCATTAAACATCAGCATAGAAGACTGCATGCAAATTCCCAGTTCCTTGCCAGAGATGGTGCAGTTTTGGCCACGCAAAAGAGAGCAAAGAGAGCAAAGCTCACCGAGTGACTTTTCGTGGTGCTCTTCTCTTTCCTGCTCTACGTAATTGGAGCACAACAGAAACAATCCACATTTGGAAAAAGATTAAAATAATTAATGCTGTACTGTGGCAGGGAGCTGGGAGGCTGAGAACTGAAGGGAGAACTGTTGGCTTTTAGGATCAGGGTAAGACACTAAAATCATTTTGGCTCAGAAACCAAACAAAGCCACAACCCATGGCAACACTGGGGGTGTACATGAAGAATTCCCTTCTCCCGCTTAATGATGTACACAGAAACATAAATGAGGAGCAGCACTCACAGGAGTACTTGAGACTGTACCACTGCTTTGTTCCTGAGGACTTTGAGAAAAAGAGCTTTTGAGGGCCACTGTTTTCTTATCTTCTTGGATCATCACATCACACAAATAAGAGACATCCCTGAAACAAAGGGAAAGAGCTGTACACTGACCCAGAACACAGGCAACCTACCTTTCTCTTGCTACTGGCCTCTTCCAGGCCAAAAAAGACTGACAAGATAATGCTTGTTTGGCAGATTAATCTGTTTGGCAGATTAATTTTTGGCCTATCACTGGCCAAAAAACTGCTTTTCATGCCTGTTGTCAATGCCTTGTCACGTACATAGCTGCAAACTGTAGAGGAGCAAGGCATTTTTCAATTCCTAGTGCTATTTAAGCAACGCTTATTTGCAAAGAAGTGTAAAGCTATTCCCTGATAAATCCATTAAAGCCAGAAAAGCTTCTTTTCCTAATCCTGGATCAGAGTATGCCAGTGAGCCTGGGATCCGTTGGAAGAACGCTTCCAAAGAGAGATCACATAGCAGCAACTCTTTATTTATTATTCCTGAAATGTCGTTCCCTTGAATTTCACCCAAATAAGCTCAGTTGGGATAACTGGTCCATTCATCCAGTCTCGTTAGGCAGCGCAGACACTCACCACTAGAAAAACCAATGGAAAGGCCTATCTACATTTGTAGTGCTAACATCTTCCCATCACAGTCAACTCCTTATCCCTTCTTTACTTACCTTCCAGCACCTGTCAAGCTGACAGGGTGGTCTGTCAAGTGTCTGAACTTGCTCCGACGATTAGGATAATGCCAAAGCCGATCGGGGGTTCGCAAGCAGCCCTGCAGACAAAGCACACGTGGCTGTCACTTCTTAGCCAGAAATGTGCCAAGGAGTGGGAGAGGTCAAAACGACTGTCTAAACAAGCTCCACGTAATTATTTCTGTCTTAGGGCTAAAGAAACCAGCATGCACAAAACAGTTGCTACAAGGGGTTCACAGCAACACGTAAGTACAAGCACGTTTACCATTTTACAGGCATTGTAAGACTATGCTTTGGATCCACATCAAATGACACGGTCAGAAAAGTAACGTTACACAAGATCAGTTTGTCCAAGAAGGTTGGCACCCTTCTCTTTCACCAACAGAACAAAAACATGTCCCTAAGAAAGAGTCAATTCTGGATAATAAAAAGCCAAAGATGGAAACGCTTACCCTGAAGCTCACTCTGTTTTTTGTTTTTTGGTGGGATTGTAAGTAGTCTGGGCTGCCAAGAGAACTGCTAGCACAGGTCAGGGCTTGGAAAATCTCTTCTGGAACAAAACTGTACTCTGGGGAGGAAGAAACAGGCCTGACGTGGTCCAGCATCCTCGATGTACCCCTTAACAAAGGGATCTCTGGAAAGCAATGCGTCAGAACTCACTTATTCTACTGATAAAATAGAGGGCTGAGAAGAACTGTGAGAAGTTGCCCACTCCTTTACCCCAAAGCAGGAACAACTCTCTCAAACACAGGCAGCTAATCCCATTTCTAGCAGCTGCTGAATCTTTGGCGAAGCCTATAACAAGTTACCTTCAAACTGTGAGGGACAGTGGCACTAAATACACAACCGTGCCAAGCTGTCAAGTATGCAAACACCAAGGGATGCTGCAAGCAACTGAAATTATTTACGTAAATCCATTACCCTTCTTAAGGATTTCTACCAGTTGACTTTCTACAAAAACATTGACACCCTGCAATACTAGCAATTGCCTAAACAAAGGCAAAGCTTAGAACTCCCCCAGACAAGTCGTGAAAAGGAACCCAAAGGACACCATCCTCTGCCCCATCTCCAACTCCAGCCCTACCTGAATGGTCCTTGCTGACAGATTCCATGCACAAGGAATTGCTCATTTTTCCTCCAACTGCCTTCAGTCCAGGAACTGGCATTCTGTTGGTAGGCATGGTGAAGAGATGCTTGGATTTTTTTTTATTCTTATCCAAGGAAGTTTTCAGTAATGAGCAATCTAGAAACAGAGTCAAACCCACCTTTGTACTTCACAGGGTTAGTATTTTTTTGTGTTATTAATTAACAGGGGAAAAAAGAAAAAACATCTGACACCAGGTAGCTCAGCTGGGAAGAAGCACCTGATGCTTTAGTTCCAGGGAGGAATACCCAACAAGAAGCTCTTATTGGCTCTACAGAGGGCACAGCCTGAAGGACCACCCTACTCATTATCTACTTAGACCCATAAAAATACATTTCATAACTGACATGGCATCAACTTGATTCATAGATGTAGAAAAGTCAAAGGTGTTTAGGTCAAATACAACTTCTGCAATTTATTAACATTTAGCATCACAAAATGATAGCTCAGTGCACTTAATGAAACCATCACAAGAGTTCTGTTCTCCAAATGCTACGTGCACAAGAGTGCTTGATTTTATCATTTGCAAATGGGGTTAACTGCTACTTTTACACATCTAACAACTGAACCAGAGACTTAATTGTAACTGAATTTCTCCATTAACATTACTGCTTTTCCTTCTTGCTTGCCAATGAAAAAAAGCTTATTTCTATGAATTTCACAGCCCCCGGGGACCCTCACGTGAAGCCTACCCTTGCCAATACACATTGTTCTTCATAAATACTCTCTGACCTCCTTATCAGCTATATCCTTTTGTACTGAGGTTTCCAGATAGGTTAACAGCATTTCATTGACTGCACAGAAATGTGTTCGTGCACATAGGTGTAACCAAAGAAAAACAGGGTAAAACTTCTGATAGGTGAATACATTGCAGTGGTTTCCTCCCACTCTTCGCTCCTTTTTAAAACCAGTGCTTGGCAGTACACTCTATTCTCACCACAAAGGATAGGAAGATTGATTAATGGTGTTGTTCTGTTGCTGCTACAGCTTAAGGACATAGAAAAGACTTGACTTCAAGCATGTGGTGCACAGCTGGAAAATAGCACATTAAGTTCCTGGCACACAAACCCATTTCAGGCCCAAAGCAAAGGCAGAAATCACCAACACGATGTACATTTTGGCACTTGTTCTGATTTAATACAGGTTAAGTTGGGAGAGGCTAGAAACTCTGGTCTGTTCCAAGAGCTACAGGCCCTTTCCCTGTGCTCCTTTGCACCTCTTCCTCAGCTCCAAGACCATTCCCTCCTCTAGGAGAGGGGCTGGACTGGACAGAGGCTGTGCAAGGGACTGCCTGGAGCCGGGCACATTGTTTCTAGCCACCCCACAGCCATCATCATGCAGCCTCTGCTGCACACCAGCAGCTCCCAAACCTCCCAAGTATTCCAGCTCCTACGCTGCACAGGGAGCAGCAGAGCCCTCCATACCTGCCAGCTATTACCAGCCAGGCAGCTCCTCACTGACTCCGTCACTATGGAAACACAGCATTGCCATCCCTGCATTCTGGAAGCAGCCTCTCACAGCAGTTCCCCTCCCAGAGGAACAACCCCACAGTGACCCTGCCCCAAGCCCAGTCCTACTCCCCTTCCCCTTCTTCTTCTGCCACCCTCATCCCAAACTACTCCAGAGCCTTGGGAAAGAAACAGGCCGAGACAGTTTTGGCTTTTTTTTTCTCCTCTAATAGGAAAATATATTTCAACTGCTGTAATACAGTAGATTATAAACGGCTCCTCTGCATGACAGAACACAGTACAGGTTGCATATACGTGGGACTGCTGGTATCAGGGGCCAGCAGGTGACTGCTGTGCAGTCCTCTTCTTGCACGTCTCTTCCCTGCCACACCGCTGCTGGATGAAGAGACAGCAATGGCTTCTTCACCCTGGAAGGGGGAGCTGGCCTGGCTGCAAGCACCAGAAAGGACAAGGGTGAGCTCAGCTGGGTCAGAGGCACAGCACAGAGCTGCTTCACAAACCGGACACCGTAGAGCATGTGGGCCTGCTCCTGGCTCACACACAGGACTGCCATCCTTCCAGCCCAACTACATTCAAAAGGTGGGATTTCAAACAGCTCAGCTGTCCATTGGCAGGTGGACTGATTCATGTCAGTACCATTTTATGTTTAAAAATACATTAGGATCTCCCCCCTCCCACCACAGCATGTACCACATGCCTTATTTGGGTGGCAGTCACAGGATAACATACAGTTAACAGCTCAAATGTGAGGCTGCTTCACTTTGAAAGGCAGAAAGCAAAAACATCCTAACAGAAAGGACGTACAAGGCGTGAAGACTGCACAGATTCAGTTTTCCTGAGAACAAACCATTATCTGCATGATAATGGGATAGATTTTGGATATATTTCACAACATTAACACTGATTTTTGTGATGTTGAACAATGAGCTGCAGCTGTTCTGGCTGCCATTCCAAAGCTGGACGCTTCCCACCTTAAAACTTTAAAAGAGTTACTATGGAAGCAAGCTTTATAATTCTTGTGTTGGAAAGAATCACAGAAAACAGCATATACCATTAGAAACTTGAAAAGGGCAGGTTATAAACCTTAACATTCACTTACTTGACCAGAACACCACACCGCCAGCTCTGGTACTCATGGTCTAAGTAAGCTCTTTTCAAGCAAACAAGCATACTATAACAGACTAATTAAACAAAGGACTCAGTATTCTCCCCTCCAGAAAAACGAATGTAAGCCTGTATTCAAAGCAATTTAAAAAACCCTATGAAATTGAAAATAATTCCCTGACAGCACAGTTGTGAGATGCCTTGATCTACAAGGCTGAAAACCTTAACCTGTCAAAAATCTTCAGACCCCTGCCAACAGCTGAGCACCCCATCCTGGTTGCCTTTTGCTTGCCAGATGCTCGAACCACCAATGTTTCCAACACCAAGGATACTGACCCAGAAAATGCTGATATTGTTCATTAGGGATATGACACAGTGCCAGCTGCAAGGGCAACACTACAACTTGGCACAAAGTGCCAGGACTTTATTTCTTTTCAGAACACTGAGACCTGACACAGGCATCAAGAAGAAAAAAATGAGTTCCAAAACCATCACACCCTGTTTGAGTACAATCATATCTGTATATAAGTGTTTCAAGCACCAGCTCTAAAGTACTAAACTGAATTTTACCCTGTGTTAAGCAAGTGATAGAGCTGTTTGGCCAAAGGGTTTACTTGCTTTTGTTCATGCTTTCCTTGTGTTATAAAGAAGAAAGCTGGATTTGAGAGTGACTGTTCAGTTCTTCCAGCACTTCTATCCCTTCCTCTAAGCAGAAAGGGAAAGAAAGACTTAGGATTATTCAGACTGAACAAGATAAGAGTAATGTATTTCATTCCTGGGATTTTGTATACTAATACTGCCAAGTTTGGTTACACACATGAACTCCTTCCTCTGAAGCCAACCCAACTGTTTCAGACAAGTTCTGGTAGGAGATGTTTTTAGATGAGAACAACACATGCAAGCCTGCAATTTGGCAAATTTGACTTGACAGCATCCCTTCTGAAGCACAGCATTTCCTCTTATAGGCATTTCAAAAGTTGGAAGAGTAAGTAGTGCCTAGCTCTCATGAATTTACTTTTGACTCAGGTTAATAAAAAGAGAAGCCCAAAAGACGTTTAAGTGGGAGACAGGTCCACGAGTCCATTACTGCTGGTATCTAATACCTGGGCTGTAGGTTAGTAAGGAAAAGCTGTTGCTGAGAAGTGGCAATTAAGAACATTTGAGTAATTAAGAGAATCCCCATGACCGAAGTCAAGGTGACAACAGTTAGATAAACTAGCAGGTTACCTTCCTTCTCCAATAATGGAAGCTACGATTTCAGGAAAACTGAACAGATAAGCACCCAAACCCGATCTAAGTTCCTTTCTGTGCTTAACATCTGACAGTGCAAGGAAGCTGAAGGGGCTCTGCCTAATTCAGACAGAATAGCTGCTGTTATAAATACATACTGAAAGACCAAATTCACTGCGCTTCTTTTAGCAGTGTCTATGGGAAGATGTCCTCCCTCTTCAGAAGTAGGAGAGCAATATGTAGAAAACTTATTTTCAGCTGAAAAAAAATCTCACTGATGAGGGCAGACACAGGCAGATGCAAAAGCAGCTCTGACTCCAACTGCTGGGTCAACCCTAATTCCCCACTGACAGTGATAGAGACTGCTACAGTACCTGTTGGCAAGGGGCACCATGACATGCTGGTAAAGAACCCAACACAGACATCTCAAATGAGAATGCACTATGTACCTGTAAAGTCAATCACATTTTCTTACAGTTCAGTCATAGTATTTCAAATCTTTCTCACTACAGAAAGCCTTAATTTGTATACCTTAAAGCATCTGCCAAATTAAAAGAAAAAGCTCTTTTAAGTAAATTGTGTTAAAAAATTATCTGTAATTATCTGTGAGCAACGGAAAGGAAGAGCTACAAGAAATCCATTCCTCAAGTCACAAGGGCTTTCAGAAGACAAAAAAGCTGTAAAGTCAGTTACAAACTTAACAAACATAGAGAAAACCAAGGTTTTCCATTTAAAAAAGACAAACTGCACATACTGTGCCCTGCTTCTGAAGATAGAAAGAGCTGATTCTCCAACACAGCCACACACAAAAATACCCTCTTCCTCTGCCCATTTGAAATCCCTAGGCAGCCATTGTACATAGAATGCAGTTCAAAGCCATCCAGGAATGCTTTGGCTATTTTCACAGCAAGGAGGCAAATAACTTGTTGCTCCGTCACTTGTCCGTGGCATAGCAACGGACAAGATCACAAAGAATAGAAGTTCTGTAGACATCCCGTTACCAAAAAGGAGAAAAAAACTGCAAAGGGGTGACCAAGGAAGATGGACGGAAGCCAACCATGAGCTACTAGCAAATCTGACTGGACGACTGCCCAGAAGAGCAGCCACTTGGGGGACCCCAGGACGAGTAGGATTCCAGTAGACTGCACCTTCAGCATAATGTTTCACTGGCATGGAAATGGCTCAAAGGAGGGCAGCACATGACAGATGCTGCCTATGAAGCCTGGTGCAATCCAGTTCAACTGGGTTGCTTCAGTACTGTTTTTAAAAGATACAGTTTCTCCCAAATAATCAGGAGGCAAAAATTCCCTTAGAAAAAGTCCGCAGTGAATTAGTCAGTGGTCCAAATACGTGGAGGAAACTCTGTTCTTCTGTGATGGCATGGCCAGAGCATACAAGTTCTTACATCTGCATGTGACACGACCACGAGCGAGGCTTTAAGTAGTCCAGGAAAACAGGCTGCAAAACACAGAGAGGCAGTGTGTTAGTCACAGGCAAACAGCACCAGCTGTGGTCTGATCTGCTGAAGTCAAATTTCCCCAACAAGAAAGGTCAAACCACATTTCCACACCTCAGACTCTATTCTTATCTCTGAAAGGCACAGGTTTAGCTGCAGACATGACAAGCTCCTTGCCCACCTCCCGCCCTACACAGTATTTATCCACAGTTCTGATGCATCTGCTATAGTAGCATATTGTCTCATGGAGTCCACAATTTATGATAGTAAACACTTAAATGAGACTCAAAATTGAGTTTGTCTGAGCATACCTTTGATTAAAATTGAAATCAACTAGCAGAGTAAAATGTTTCATGTGGAAGATGACTCTTAATGCCATGAAAGTGTCAGAGTAAGTAAAGGTAAAAAAAAAAAAAAAAAAAAAAAAAAGAACTACAGAAACATCTGATAAGAGCTAAGCAATTTTTATTGTCACCCACTCTAGCCTAGGAGGAGCACAACAGGCTCAGTTTTTGCAGACCTAGAAAAATTTCCCGTGACCTCAATGGCCAAGTGCTATAGTTACACTCACATGGCATGAGTGGTCTAGTTTACATGCAAGTAGTAGCTTATGTTTTCTCAGATGTGAGAAAAATGGTCACAGTTTCAAGAAGTGAAATACTGTCTGCATAGAAAATATTAATGAAAGTGCTACAGTGACAAGAAGCTTTGAGATTTCTGTAGTTTCTGAATAGCTCCTAATGAACTGATACAGCACACTGTCAGAAAGGCTCGCGTCACTTAATCCCTGTCCCATCCCCATGGCAAGAAAGGACAAGCCACTGGCCTGGTCAGTTATCCCCTAGGGAGGGTCAGTCACTCACATTTTCTGCAGGGCAGTACTGGCGGGCGTACCACTCCTGGCTGTAGAGGCAGATGATGACACCTTGGCCCAGGAAGAGGGATGTCCACATGATCACGTTCCAGATGGGCCCCTTCCGGCGGTCATTAAGGATGAAGTTAAAGAGCACTGCAAAGAGGAAATGAGAAGCACCGTTCAGAAACCAGCTGATTTTTGCTGGATATTCCCCCTCCCCACTGCTTCACCTCCAGAACAAGGCTCTTCCCCAAGGTCAGTGCAGCACACAAATATCTGATTACGCCTGGCAGGACAGCAAATGCTACCAATTGACCTGAACTTCCAGAAGAGTTCTCCAAGCTGGTGCAGCTATATGCCTCTTTGCTTGGGTGTCAATACTGTTTGTGTTATGCAGATGACCAAATCATGCCGGCAGAGGCGACCTAGAGATTTAGAGCCCTCTCACTTACACCCCAAAATGAAATGCAAGAGCCTTAACTTGTAAACGTACTCTCTTCCTTGCTGCAGGAGCAAAGTAATGCTTGTCTTGCACTACAACTTTAAAGATCATTGCCAACTTGCTGACAAGCAGCAATTCAACTAAGGCTTGGCAAAAAGGAAGCAGTGCTACTAAAGACATAGAGCCCCACGACCATCAGGGTATCATACGTAGCTCTCTTCCTCCCCATTCACGTCTTCACTTCTCTAAGCCATTCACTAGGTTTGGACCCACAACTGCAAACTCTTGGAAATGAGATGATTCTGTACAATAATGATGCCACAAGCCACTCAAATACTCTACTGGGAACTTACTTCCAAAGCACATGAACAGGCAAAAGAGAACCGGGTAGAAGAAGCCGAAGCAGATGCTCAGAACATACTCGTGCACAGCAGCTGATACTGTGAAGACAGACAGCATAGCTGCAGCTTTGAACTTCTTGCCAAAAAACTGGAAGACAGAAGAATACAAAGTATTATTCACCTATTCTGCTGTGGCTTTAGTTTGGTTCTTGCAAGTTATTTTCTTTTGTTTTGTTAAAAAAAAGGTCAAACCACAAAATCCTGCAGGCATAGTAACAGATGCTGTAAAAACTACAGTTGCTGCCCAAAGCCAGCAGAGGAAAACCAGTCATTGGCCTCTCAATATAGCAGTAGTGATGTTGCATGTTCAAAAAAGCACCGTCTTGCTCAAGATTTAATTAGATATGAGTTTGTTGCTCACCCAGAGGAAGTCCCTATAGGCATAGTAATAGAGCCAGTCGTGCACTACCACATTCCAAGTTCGGTAGTAGTTTGCATAGGATGTGGAGTTCCACCAGTCCTGGAAGCAAAGTTGAAAGAATATAAAAATCTAATTAAGCATCAAACATCCTACAGGTCTCTTCTGGATTATCAAGTTCTGACTGATATGTTTAAACAATACAAAGCCAATATAACAATTTACACCACGAAATAAAACACGCTGTTGTACTTGCAATGATTTTGAAATGCATATCAAGATTTCCTTTTGTCTAAAACTACAGTGCTGAGATGATAAAAGAACAGTGTCATGACTGAGCTCTTCAGTAGGCCTGGTGCACAGATCCATTCATGCACAGGGTTACTACTGCACAAACAATTCAGACTACCAAATAAAAACAAGAACACAACCGTTCTAGAACACAACCACCAATTTAAGGCATAAGATAAGCAAAACCCCGTGGACTTTTTTTGAAGTAAAAAGCAAAAGGAAAACACCACCACCACCCCCTCTAGTTTCCGCTTTCCTTTCTGTTACGAAAGGTAATGTTTTAGAAGTTTGATAGAGCTTGCTTTATGAACTCCTGCTTCTTACCTTGTAGAACATCCTATCTGCAAAGCGCATCATCTCAGCAAATGCATTAAGCCAACAGTGAAGGAAGGCAAAGAAGACCAGGAAAAGAATCAGTACACCTAGAAGCAAAGCAGAGTCAAATTGATTTTCTTGTATACTCAGCAGTAAGGGGGAACATGTAACACAGTCAAGTTTGTTTTTGTTAGGAAGGGCTTTCCAATACACTGACAGATACAAGCTTTATGCTACCTACACAAAAACAGTAAAACCATTTCAGTTTCTTATTGCACAGGGTCACACTTATCTCAGATGGCAACAGTAAGGTGGCAACAGGACCTACAATTTGAAGACTTAAGTTCAAACTTGCCTGTCACGAATGCTTGATGCAAGAGTTATTTTCCCCTACTTCTGCCTCTTCTGCAAAGACAGATACTCACAGACCCAGGTCTTACCAGGCAGAATTGAGTTGAAGATGCACAAGACCAGCCCTCGAAGATTAAATGTTTCTTGACTACTGTTGCGAAACTGAGGAATGCAGAGCCTCACAAAGATGTAGTAGGCATAAAAAAGCGAACCAAGCACCTGGAACAAAAATAGTAGCCTGACTTTGTAAGCGAAATGCACAGGTAACACATTGCCACTTGATAGCTCTGAAAGAAGATCAGCAGCTGCCAACACAAATCAATTATTTTATTTCACTTTGTTACTAATAATCTTCCATAATGCTCCAGGCAGAGAGTGAACAGCAGCCATCTCTCCAGCATGTTGACTGCCAGGAAGAAAGTCATATTTTCTACTACAGAAGCTCTAAGTTTCTCCTAGTCCTGTCAGCTCAGAAATTATGAGACAGACTTACAGCAACATGAAACTAAGCAGGGAACAGTGCCTTGTGATCCAGGTCCAAGACAAGTACAGAATTAATTGAAGAATTATATAACTGTAATTATATCTAGTATTAAGACTTAACTACCCTAATCCCAAAGAAGATAGTAACAGGCCAAACCACCTAATACCTTCTCTGGCTTACAAACCCATGCTCTGAAAGTTGAAGACAAAAATGCAAGCCACTGCTTTAGATACTGATGGAAGCCAAATACTCATGTGAGCAGCCAGAGGCCCTTCTGTTACTTGTTTTTATTATTAAAACAAGACCATAAAAGTTTTAATCACATGAAGCCACTGTTTGAAAACAAATCCACAAGAAGCTACTGAAGTTTATGTTCCAAATAGGTTCTCCCTCAAAACTGAAGTAAAGATCAGGTCAGACTTAAGCAATGAACTCCAGGCCTCTTATTTCAACGCTGGCCTGAGTATCTGCAGACAGGTTGCCGTGCCAGTGCACTACAGCAAAACTGAGTAAAGAAAGAGGGCCAGAGCACAGTGCTCCCCATACAGGCATGAAACTTCAGTTTTTATGGAATGAAGTCCGCTTGCTCAAAAAAAAAGAAAACACCATTCTGAAGGTTTAACAAGCATTTTCATGTATTTTGACAGAATCCTTAGTTCAGCAAGGTTGCTTTTTAATTTCTTCTTAAATCATTAAAAAGTGTTCTTTTCCAGTAAGTTCACACCATGCTGACAGCCACTAGTGCTAAAGGGAAAGCTGTTTAGCAACACAGTTTAGATGACCTCTGACATATCTGTTCTTCAGAAAGCTGTATTACTCACCTGTGCAAACTTGGTAGCTACGTAGCCCCATCTTACTGTAGGATTCCTAAGATAAAGAATGCAGAATGTCACATCTAAATAGAATCTTAGTGCAGCAAAATCCTCCTTTTGTTACTGATTCTACTTTGGGAAAAACTAGTTTTAGAATTCAAAGTCCTTGACCTCTTGCATTTTAAAAAGAGGTGCCTAGACCAGATTGCTGGTTCCTCACAACTATGTAGGACAGCTGTGACAACTACATAAAGGAAAAAGTACCTCTGAGGCAGCATTATGCAATTACACAGGAGGTGGTGATCCACCCGATAGTCATGTAAAGTACTGCTGACTCGACACTATAGAAGTACAACAACAAGTACATGAAAGTTCATGAGTTCTCAGTTTTATAAGGCTTCATTCTACCGCCTCAAACTCAATAGGCAAGACCATCAATTAGCAATGCATGAAGCAATGCACACGTCCACTGCTGGGACTGGTGCCATTAGATATTCAGTGGCAATTTGGTTCAGTTCATGCACACAACAGGAATTGTAATGTCTAAAGCACTATTAGTAGTGGAGTGAGTTTTCATAACCAAGACTTGTCCGTGCCGGGTTTCTGACTTTACCATGACTTTATGAAAGCTCTAATTAACTAATTTAATAGGACACAATGTGGGGTCCTTAGTACTGGCTTCAGTTCTTTAATGTTCTACTGATATTGCTCACGTTACCTGGGATAGTTGTCTCTGTAGATGAGGGTGGGAGCAAAGAGGAAGTACAAGTATTGAGAAATGCGAGGAATAGGTACTGAGCCTGGAAGAAAAGGAAAAAATAACTCTTCAATCTTTTTGCTTACTGAAGTTTTCTTTTACCTAGTACTCTTTCCCAATATACAGCACTCAGTGTATCAAAAAAGATCAGGCTGGAACTAAAGGTAGGGGATTCCCAAGGAATAAAGCAAACTATCAGATGGAAATACCCTTGTCAAGAGCAGTTAACAAGTCAGGATGACTAACAGTGCAGTGATGACACACTGATATCACATCTCCTTTCCTCCTCACAAAGATCACAGAATCAATGAGGTTCAAAAGGATCTCTGGAGGTCATGCAGTCCAATGTCCCTGCTCAAGCAGGGTAGATCAATCTTAAGGCCTGGATCAACATGTGGGTTCATGTTCAGCTCTGGTATACATTGCCAAGAGGCCTTCTAGAACTGCTGTCACTTGACCAAAGCACTGGACTAGGAGTGAGCAGGCAGCCTCTCCATACTGCTCACAAAAGCAGAAGAAAGAAGTCCTGCTGAAGCAAGACTTAGATCTGAGCAACAATCTAGCTCATTAACCAAAATCAAATTTAAAAATTCAGATTGAAATGATGCTGCAGAAGGTCAGCACAGAGCCTCATCACCCCCCTGTACAAAGTTACCAGCTCAGATTCTACCTCTCTCAGAGTAACAGCTAGTTAAGCACAGTTGTCAACTAAAATCAAGCTACTCACCAGACTTGTCCTTTACAGAAGACAGGACTCTGGGCACATTCTCACGGACGAATGAATGAGCCTTCATAACAAGACGAACCTGGGAGATTAACAGAACACCAGTTTAATACCAACTTGCATCAAGTGTTTCAGGGTAGTGCATTCAGCACTTTGGTTTCTCTGCAGTTTGTACGTTCCACCAGGAATTTCTTCTTCTAGGAAGAAACAGGTGCTGACTACGTACCCCTTATTTATTTACTTAAAGGGCAATGTTACAGCATAACAGGTTACTGAAGTTGTTTTAAAGCACTCAGCATCCACAAGACAACTAGAAGTAAATGGAGTTTCAGCCTTGATACACGTTCAGAGAAAATTGTACAGTAAAATCTTAAGGTGAAAGTTGTTTCCACGTCAAAACAAGATTCGCTATTATCAGGTTTTCTCATTAGACCTGCCACGCGTTTAAGTCATAGACTAACTCCATCCATAGCCCTGGCTTAATTTAATGAATGAAAAAAAAAAAACAAAACCACCCACAACCAAACAACAATCCCACAACACTTGATTCTTTAAGAAAAAAAAAACAAATCACCTTCCAGTTTTGCAAACAAGCTTCAATATATCCAAGGATACCGAGTAGTTGCTTACCTGTTCCAGTATTACAATAAAACGGGAAGCTGGAGGCAGAGCATATGATACAGCAACATACGTTGGCCCAATCCCAAGCCCAATGGTTTGGAAGAGAGTGAACAGTGTCCCGTACAAGAGAGAGTAGATTACACGATGGGAGGAACTGCTGTAACCTTGGGCCCACTGGAAGAAAAGGCTGTATGGAATGATAACCGTGGCACAGAACATGCACAGCCAAGTACAGAAGACAACCGGAAACTTTCCAAAAACGTAGACCAAGAGATCAAACCCAAGGACCAGCCTAGAAAGCACAAGGAAACAGACAACATTTAGTATCCACTGTTTCAACAGGAAGTGCTTCTGTTTCAGTACATGGCTACAGAAGGCCAACCACACAGATTGCAGTTTGAGTCTCGACGGTAGCGAGGAAGGCAGTTTTCAGCTCAGAAACACAGGGCTGCCCACAGCACAGATTTAAATGACCACCTGCAAGCACACCAAAAGATAAAAACCTGAAGGACTCATGCCATCAGTGCTGTAAGGCACAGCTGTAAGCTGTCCTTACCTTCAAATCCAGCAGGGCTTAAGTGCATCTTTAAGACGAGAAAGTGCTTTGAGAATATGCTCAAAGGTCATCCCTGCTGGTAATTAAGCACATCACTGAATGATCCACTGCTAGCTGAACTGGGCCCAAAAGAGCTTTTGAGGAACACTCATAGGACATTACCATTACTATGTTAAGAACCAGCTTCTCCACAAGAGATTAATGTCGAGAGAGGCCTTCTCAACTCCCCCCAGTAGAAGCAAGATATTTTAACACCTAGCACCCAAACCTAATTTAATTCTGCTTTGTGAAAACAGTAGACATTTTTGGAAGTGACTCAAAAGGATTATAGTCAGAGGGAACGATGATCACCAAGTGATGAGCACCAGATACATGATTTCACTAACTGAACTTAAACATGCACTAGATGTGCAGCCTGAGAGCCTATCAAAGCCACCAATACTTAAGTAACAATTCTAAAGCAAATTAAAGGAACAAGTAATGCAAAGCATCCCAACAAGATGTATTTGTTCTGAGGGTGGAGGCTTAACTGCAAATCGGATCCAAATTATCAGATCAAGTAGTTTAGAATTTTTTTTTTAAAGCAATCACAGATAATCCAGCCCTATTAGCCAATTTTAGAGGTAAATGTCTATTCCCCCAGCATCTGCATTGCTATTAAGTTAGAATTAGCCAAATAATGTTCAGTAGTGCATGAGCCAGCTTTTATACCTAGACAAGATAACGGTAATAATCAAAATACAGCTCTGAACAACAGATTATCAGCAAGATAAGCATGCAATCCTACTCATGCACACAAGATACATCTTGCCAAAAAGATATTCAAGGCAACAATCAAGTGTGAGGAAAGCAGTCTTTCACAATCTCTTCCAGAACTGGCTACCTGCTAAGCACAAGCTTACAGGCTGTGCCAATATCCTTGAGATTTTTCCACAGGAAAAAATGAGAAGTGTCTATTTTTATTTAAGCACAAGTACAGTGTATCAGAACTGTCATTTCTCAAATCAGAAAGGACTGATAATGCATTTCAGGTTTTTTGGTTTTTATTTCTCCCTAAACACAGTCCTCCAAGCACTGCAAGCTGATATAAAAAAAAGCAGTCCACACCCACTGATGGCTCCCCTCCATTAGGCCTTGTGATGAACTAAGCATGTTAAATCCACAATTCACTGACAGAACACCTATCTGTAAGACCTTCCCAACATTTAGCTAACTGCATTTGAAATTTCCCTATCCACTCAATAACAATTGCTGGATATTTGAAGAGCATCAAGTTGAACACCCCCCCCTTTTAACAGCATCTCAAGAAGAATTACTTTGTGCACCATTCTATAGTTTGCATGTAGTTCTGGCTCTTTGGGAGTGAGCATTTCCCAGCCCTGGCCTTTGTCCTTCCCAAGCACTCTTACCTTCCTTCATCAATGAAGTCCACTAAAAGTGTGCTGAGGATGAAGACGATGAGAAGAGCGATGAACATGTGATAGATTGTCCTGATGTGACTCACTTCAAATAGCTCACTGGGGGAGAGATTCAAAAGCTATCAGGCCATTCACATAGCAGATCACACATCACACTTGTGTTATGGCTTTCAAATGAAGCATCTCAAAGCAAAGGCTAGTTAGCTTGCTGTCAAGAGTACTTACAGTCAACTTATTTAATGGAAAAAGAGAAGCTAAACTACTCACTCCAAGAGGGACCTCCTGGCAGTGAAGATCTTCCCATGTTCTGGAGGGGCTCTTAAGGTCCTGCAAATTAGAACATTCAAGAAAAAGAAAATAAGGCTTCCAGGAAACAGTCTTGTTATAGAACTAACGTAAACCTGACTTACTTGGCTTTGTGTAGCTCCTTCTCAGAGCAGGAAGCCGGGAAGAGGGAAGCTGAAGATGAGGAATCCAGGAGTGCTGACTTTGCCACCAAACTGTTCACAAACTCTGTGAAGTGACTGTCCACCTCCTTCATGAAAACTGGCTTCAGTTGCTGACAGAGCAAGAACAGAGCAGCATGTTACCAAAATGTATCTAGAGTTAAGTAAGACGTTCTCCTTTTTTATCCCAGAGCAGAACAGAGTAAGGGATCCTGTGCCATCAGCCCACGGCTGGAGTCCAATTGGACAGGAACATATCCAGCCTGTTCACACACCTCAGTTCCCAGAGTTCTGAATAACGTTTATCTTCCCTACCAGATGCAATAGAGGAGCAAAGCAAAAATACTGAACTTCACACATGTCTGGAGTGGCAGGTACTTCACATTTTTGGTGGTGCTGCTATGGAAGCTGAGCTAAACATAATACAGACCCAGAAAACACTTCTCAGTTTTAGCCACAGGTGCAAACAAGATTTACATCATAGCCAGTGTAGCGCTACTGGAAGGAAAAAAAAAAAAAAGATGATCTTTTCATGCTTGTGACTCAAAAATCCCAGGTGAACCTGCTGAATTCCCTTTTTGTAAGACAGAGCAAATAACCAGTGTAAAGCCAATGCAACTGGTTGGAACAAAAGTGCACCATTTTCAGCCTATTCATGCTTTTTTTTTTTCTTCTTTTTTCTCCTCATTTTACCAGGAAAATGCAACTTCTGAAGCATCTTGTTCACTAGAGCTCTTGACTTCTAAGGGTGCCTGAGAAACTAATGAGCATCCCCCTCCTTTACCATCTTCCTGGAAAAACACAGAGAGAGCACAAAGAGGGTAACAACTGGCTGTTAACAAAGCATAGGCCACCCTGGTCAAAGACTGCTTGCTTTTTTACCTGATTAAAAAAAAAGTTTACTCTCCAGAAAGGAAAATATTACTTAAACCTTCCAATCACAAGCTAACCAGGGAAGAAAGGCAAACTACACAATGATGAGATTATAATCCTGTTTCCCTGTCACTTTTGTCTTGCCTAAAGGCTAACGTGCACAGTTCACTCCAATTCTCCAGTACACAGCATAGTTCAATTTGCTCTTCAGTCTCGCAGCATGAACTTCCAAAGACCTGATCTCCATGGGCCAGGAAGACTTTAAAAATAAGATGCCTTTAGAAGAAACTAAGCAATAAGATGCTCATTTCAAAGTTACTTACTTCCATAGAAAGTATTACACTGGGCTCTGGACAGTTCTTTACTACAAATTACTAAAAACTACTACTGCAAATTCTTTTGCTCTTCAGATGCAAACAGGATCCCAAGATTTGCATAGTGGCATAAGAGCTATTCTTGCAAGTAGAAGATTAGGCAAAACGAATTCCCTCAAGGAAATAAAAGCAACATGTGCTCACTTGAAATCCAAGAGCTTAGAAAGCCACAAGATCCTAAAATTATGAGCCCTTCAGAAGTCACCCAGTTATCTTCAGCACAGAAGATAAGCACGTTTAACAAAGTTTGTACGACTACAAATCTAATCGTGTATTACTGTCATTGTTTGTTTTCTTTTTGATGCAAGTGCCTCTTTGCAAATCTTGTCTGCTCATCCTTTTGCTTGAGACTTTCTCAGATTGTCCAAGTATTTCTAGATGGTAGCTGCATATTATTTCATCTTATCTTCCTACTCATCATTGGCTCAAGAAACATTTGTTTTTCCCTCCAAATGCCTTCAGAATTCCTTTCTGATACTTATTTTCTAATCTTGAAGGCTGAAAAGCAACAAAACCAAGAAATCCATTTTCAAGGAGGAAAAGAATCTGGAAGTTGTACACAGGAACACTGCTTCCTTTGGAAGGCCTTTGTGATGCTCCGTTGTTTGGTGTCTTCTTTGTAGAGCCTATTATATCAGAAAAAGGTGAAGCACCATTGTTTTTCGCTAAGCAGAAACAGGCACAAGGACTAATAACACGAGGAAATAGACCCAAAAAGCCAAGCTAAAAGGTCTTTTTTAGATGTGGATCTTTTAGGTGAGCAAAGCCCAGTAACAGGCAATGTATTCGTACAAAGTGCTGCTGCATAATGCAACAACAGCCAAGCAAGCAAGTTTAACTTTCTGGTAGTAAACGCAAAACCTGACATAAGACCACATTCTTCACAGTGGTCAGCTTTAGTAAGAACTAAAAAAGCTGCAGTAGGAGAAGGAATAGATTAATATTTAACTTAGAAAACATTTTCTTACTATTTGGCAGCTGCTAGCATAGAACTAACAAGCTTCACTGGCACTTGATGATACAACTCGGTTGTCTATTCTTAGAGCTTTCCGGAAAGCAGAGAAGAGGGCTCAACTCTTGCAAAAACATGGATTAATCTTTTAAAAACAAGAAGTACAAAAGTTGAGTACTTTGGAACTACAGCCTGTAACAGAAGACTGCTTTTTGGCACAGCCTGTTCTTACAGCACACATGCACGTATCCCTAACCGAGGAAGTCAAACAAATTCCTACTCCTCCTGGAGTGTTCTCATTTCCCTTCCAGAAAAGCACTATTCATTCCTACCACAGTTATTTTTTTATTTTTTTTTTTAAATTTCCTCTCAGCAAGAGCTTAGCAGAAATAATTTCCTTATATTACACATTCCCTTTCCAGTCAGCGCTCTGCTGAGGCTGCCCCTCCTAACACAACCCTCCAAGGCTGACATCAACTTATGCACATATTTGGGCTGGGAAAACAAGATGCGAGTTCTCATGAAATAAAATTTGATGTAGACAGAGCAGAAACTCCACATTAACTGCAATTCTTCACATCAGAACTGCACAGTGTATTGTGTTATACTGACAACCATCACCACTGCCAATCAAAGTAACTGCCAGAGTAACTGTTCACACTCAAGAAGCCAACTGATCAAGCCACTAAACACATAAAACATAAGAGAATGCACCTCACACAAACCTTCTCTGCAATATGGCACAGTCTTCTAGCAGAGCTTAACTGTTCCCTAACTGGTGTTCCAAGTGTTACACAAGGAACAGGGCAGATCTGTTCAGCTGTCACAATTTAGTTTTCAATAAAAGAATCTGATTATTGGAACAACAAGGAGGGGGAGCAAATACTCAATAAATGCTATGCCATAAAAAACAGAAGCAGGCAAATAATTGATAAGTCAGAGGAAATTGAGCCAAGAAACGCTGTAACTTATTGCTACAGAGAAATTCACTAGAGTTTCCCTTAATTTTACTCATTCTAACAGATACAACTGGAAACTGTGCTACAGCACACTGAACACGAGGAAGCGATATGGGATAACCAGCACAGCTTCACCAAGGGCAGGCCCTGCCTGCCAAACCCCAGGGCTTTTCATGAAAGTTTAACTGTGGCGCTAGACAAGGGGAGAGCCACTGACCTCATCTATCTGGACTTCAGTAAGGCCTTTGACACAGTTCCCCATAACAACCTTCTCTTCAAATAGGAAAGATATGCATTTGATGGGTGAACTGTCTGATGGATGAGGAACTGGTTCAGAAATATCCAGGGAGTGTTGGTCAATGGCTCAGTGTCTGCACGTGACAAATAGCGCCCCTCAGGAGTCAGGTGTTTTTAACATCTTCATCAATAATATCAACAGCAGGACTGAGAGTAGCCTCAGCAAGTTTGCAGATGACACCAAGCTGTGTGGTGCCACTCGGAGAGACCTAAATAGGCTGAGCAGGGGGCCCAGGTGAACCTCATGAGGTTCAACAAATCCAAGTGCAAGGTCTTGCATCTGGATTGTGGCAGCCCCCACTATCAATACAAGCACAAAAAAACAGCACAGCCCTGTTGAAAAGACTTGGGGGTACTGGTGGATGGCAAGCTGAACATGAGCCAGCAGCATGCCTGCACAACACAGAAAGTCAACTGGATCCTGGGCCGCATCAAAAGAAGTGTGATCAGCAGGTCAAGAGAAGTGATCCTGCCTCTCTAATGTGCACCTCACCTGGAATATTGTGTCCACACGGGGAGTCCTCAGTACAGCAAAGTTCTGGACCTGCTGGAGTGTACCCAGAGAAGGGCCACAAAATGAGCCAAGGGATGGAACACCTCACCTATAAAGACAGGCTGAGAGCCAGAGCTGTTCAGTATAGAGAGAAGAAGGCTCCAAGCAAATGTGAAAGAGGTCTTTCGTTATTTAAAAGGTGGCTGTAAGAAAGGAGGAGACAGACTCTTTACCAGAGACTGCTGTGACAGGACAGGGGAAATAGTTTCAAACTAAAAGAGGAGATATTTAGATTGGATATAAGGAAGAAGTTTTTCATGATAAGGGTAGTGAAGCACTGGCATCACTCTGGTTTCCCAGAGCAACCTGATCAAGCTGTAGAAATCCCTGTGCATTGTGTTGCAGTTAAACTGGATGAACTTTCAGGGTTCCTTCCAACTCTAAGGATTCTATGATCCTAAGTGGAGCAACACCAACCACCTACAACTCCCACTTAAACAAATGGAGGCTGACAGTGATTAGCACTTGTCAGAAATCAAGCATCTGTATGGGCCTCAGATACAGACCCTATAAAGGGTAAAAGGGGATCTGAGCTTCTGTTGTGTGAATCACCGGTCAAAACGATGAGGCAGAAGAGGAATTCTCAGGCATTTCTAACAGATGTAGGCTTTTATACTTAGCCCTACAGCTATTCTTGTAGCTTTGAGGAATCTTAAATTTGCAATCTGCTGAACTCAGCATATAAAACCTGAACTTCCCATGTTTCAGGAGCAACTTCAGCATTCAAGTGCTGCTGAGCCTTCTGGTTTTCTTTGGTTCTCTTTGTGGATAAGAAGCTGCCTTGACTACAGGCTACCACGTCTCAAACTTTGGAGCCAGAAAGCATTCAGAAAGATAACACAAGAGTAGAGTTTTACACCTAGGGAGGAATAATCGCATGCACCAGTACAGGCTGGGGGATGAGCTGCTGGAGAGGAGCTCTGCAGAGAGGGACCTGGGCACCCTGCTGGATGACAGGTTGGCCTTGAGCCAGCAGTGTGCCCTCATGGCCAAAAAGGCCAATGGCATCCTGGGGTGCATTAAAAAGAGCATGTCCAGCAGGTCAAGGGAGGTGATCCTCCCCCTCTACTCTGCCTGGTAAGACCTCATCTGGAGCACTGCGTCCAGTTCTGGGCTCCCCAGTACAAAAAAGACAGGGATCTCTTGGAAAGAGTCCAGCGGAGGGCCACAAAGATGGTGAAGGGCCTGGAGCATCTCTCCTATGAGGAAAGGCTGAGTGAACTGGGTCTACTTAGCCTTGAGAAAAGATGACTGAGAGGGGATCTAATCCAGGTTTACAAATATCTGAGGTGTGGGGCCACAGTGGTGAGGCCAGTCTCTTTTCAGTGGTACGTGGAGACAGGACAAGGGGAAACGGACATCAGCTGCAGCATAGGAAGTTCCACACAGATGTGTGCAAGAACTTCTTTACGGTGAGGGTGATGGAGCACTGGAACAGGCTGCCCAGGGAGGCTGTGGAGTCTCCTTCTCTGGAGATGTTCAAGTCTTGCCTGGATGCCTACCTGTGTGACCTGGTGTAGAGAACCTGCTTTGGCAGGGGGGTTGGACTCAATGATCTCTAGAGGTCCCTTCCAACCCCTACAATTCTGTGATTCTGTGATAGCTTTCTCAAAGAAAGAAATCCAAGATCAAGTTGTCCCTCAGCATCCAGATAGTGTCCCCTGGAACTCACACAGCTACATGTGCTTAACAGTCCTTTAAAAGTTGCTTGTGCAAGCATTAGTTGCAAACAGTGAATTGCAGTGGTTGTATTTGTCTGCAGAAAAAAGATACGAGGCAGATATGAGACTTGCTCTATCATGCCCTCAGTAAGAGTCACTCAGAGAAGACAATATATGAAATAAAATTAAGAGCTGACTATCCCTCTAATGGGTTGAATTCTAGGAGCGTCAGCACAAAAAGCAGTCAGAAGTGTCTACTGTAAGTTACACATCATATCTATATAATAAAGAGACTTTAAAACAGGAAAGGACCTCAAAGTTGCAAGGTATTTGTCCCTGTCCTTTAAGTATCCAATCCCTAATAACTACATAGGGCTGAGACAATTAGATGACCTCATCCTCAGCATGGGATTCTCTGCAATAAAGTGAAGCAAGAGCGCAGGACAGTTTGCCTCAAAGAACATGCCTGCTGTGAAACAATGGTTAGCAAGGAGGGTGCAGTTCACTGTCAGCTAACTTCATTTAATTTGGCCATAAATCGCCTTAATGCACGCTAAGGCAGTGGCAGCTCACGCAGATGCAGATGACACGTATAGAAATTTTTCTCTGAGGATAATGCTTACTGAAAAGTAGTAAGATCATCTCCACAGGTAGGGCAATGGAAACCAAGAGATACAGGCCAGGTGCATTAATGGCTAACAGGACACAGAATTGGAAGCGCTGGACACACAAGCTGTCAAAGGGAACAGGCTAGCTAACAATTACACTGTCAGAAGTTAGTAGTGAGGCAAGTCCAATTTTATTACAGGCCTCAAAGTTCATTCTTATCACTGGACTCTAACCTATTGGGGTCAAACAAGACAGAGCTGTGTTTGACAGCACTACTCTTGTGCAAAGTGAGAAGAGATACAGACAGGAAGAGGGCTGTATAAAAGTCACCACACTTGAATTATGTCTGAATAGAATGTATTTGTATTCCAGGATTGAGGAGTCTCCAGAAGAGATGATCAGGCTCAATTATCCTGCTCCTCACCACAAAGAAGCATTAGAGTATATTTACCTCAGCTTCTGCTATTAGCTGCATCTTCCTTGTTATCACATGGTCCACATCAACGCGACCTAAGGAAGGAAAAGCAAATATTGAACAGCTGCATTTGCAGCAACGTGTCCCGCATGACTGAAAATACATGAAAAACAGCAGGCAGTAGTTCATTCACTAGTTTTTCATTAATACTTCTGATTCCTACTAAAGTCTCAGCAAGTACAAAACTAAACTACAATGTTAGTAAGCATTGAGCAAGTATTTTTAAACAGCCATTTAGGATCACAACATGATAAAGCAGGCAACAGCTGATAACGTGCTGGATTTCTGAAAGCTCTGCAATTCCACAAATCATTCCAAGGTCCTTAAACATATTCAGCCTTGAAACAGCAATCAGAACAACCCTTAGAAGGTCATATCCAAGCATGCTGATCTTCTAGCATAGTTTTATCTTATGCACTGTGAACTAGACGAAAGATTAGGTTGCCTACTGGCAATGTAGAGACCTCCAGACAAGGTAGTCAAGACACGACTTTCTGTAAAACAACCATCCCTAAAGATGGGCAGACTGGCGAGTTGGAAGGCTGTCATCCTGTATTCCAACCTGGCTACTCTCACTCCTTTCTTCCCCCATCAGAGCATCAGTCTGACTGTATTTCCCCAAAACACTGTATCCCTTAAAACAGGTGGTCAATGCATGCTAACAACAGGTCTATGCATGCTAAAAACACCATTGGGACTTTTGTCACTAGCAACACCAAGAGTTAAGTGAAATATTTCCTATTTCCATCTTTAATAAAACTATACTCACTTGTCAGCATTAGACATTCCTACCACCCCATATCAAGCAGGCAGTAAGAACAGATTTTGGACATAAAACACAGGCTATAGACTGAAGAATGGGAAGTGGCAACACCTTCTTATAGGTAGTTTTAGCCACCTCGTAATGCAACAAAGAAAGGAAATAGGTAAATATCATGATTTCTTTATATTCCGGCTGCACGCAAAATTCACTTTTCACAGAAACAGAATTCCTGGCTGCTAAGCATCTCACCTGCAAAACAAAAAGTTACCTCAGCATTAAAGTCATTCAGCAAGTACAATGGTGCAATAGACTGCCAGTGTGGGAACAATTCAAGAGTGTAAAACAGCTTTTGCCACTCAGCTCCTGCACTTCACTGGTCTCAAATGGGCACCCCCACTCACAGGAAAAAAAATAAGCAAAACCATTCCACAAGCAGCAGGAAAGCATATCCTTCACAGCATCTCAAGAACTCAACTCCCTCAACTGCACCACTCCACAATTGTATCGACAGCCCTTCTACCCATTATTGCTGTGCTAAAAACCACCGTATGTTTACCTGCTGGCAAGCAAACCACACAGAGCTGCTGAGCTCACAGCCCAGCTACCTTTGCTGCAAAAGGTGAGAACTGTTCTCTCATCCACCTGCCAGTATTCACGAAACTGTGCAACAGGGCCAAAGCCACTAAGACATCTGAGATGTGGGGGGTAGCACTATTTCCTTTGTGAGCTGAACAAGAAATGAGCAGCTACTGCTTTGACTGCATTTCCTATCACTACAACTACTCAGGAGTGACTCTCTTAAGAAATGAAGCATCCTTTTTCCACTAATGAGGCCTTAAAAATGGCTGGTTTCACCTAGACCTTAGCATATGACTGTAATATTCCTGTAAACATTCCTGTAAAGGAAAATGGGCAGGTCTCTGACCTGTTGACATCGTAATTGCTGAAGTTGTACATAGTGTCCCTCCTATCTCTTTATCCACCCACACACCAGTGAATAAGCAACATCACATAGACTAAAAACATAGCAAGGCTTAATGAGTCTTTGAATCAAGATCTCAGCATCTTCTCTACATGTACCTCACGCAGCAAACTAAGTAAAACCACCTGTAAGCTCAGCTCCCTTCTGAAAGAGAAGCAAAACTGTCTCCTGTTGAAGAAAATCTGCTCCCCAACACCACCAACACATCCTGCTGTTCCACAGCATGAGTTTATTGGGCAGGGCATCACAGGCAGGTAGCATAGAGTAGATAAATCATCATCTTGAATCATTCACCTTCTGCTGTGCGAGCTGCTACTTATGTTTCCTGAAGTCATTTAGAAATAGAATCATCACATGATTTTGAATCTAAGAGGAACCGAACACCACTAAGAAGTCTAAATTTTCCACTTTCCTTTGCCATCAGAAATCCCTTTGCACCGCTCTAGGATTACAGTACCATCGAAAAAATCAGACTCAAGGTCGCACAAGTCAGGCAAGCACATCTACCATCAAAGTAATGCAGGTTGTGAACTAAGAAAACAGGAACTACATTAAGAAATTGTAAAGAAAAAGATCTTTAAAGACTAGAATGACATAGTAGCAAATCACACAGGAAACCAGCCTTAAAGAGATCATGTAATTATCAAGACGTTTTCTTATTGCTGAAAATCTGGGCAACTTAAGTTTCACCAAAAAAATTTACAAACTGTCTTTTTTTTTTTTTAATTGGATTTGATTTTCTTTTCTAATCTTCTTTTGTACATATTTACAAGCAAGTGACATTGATTGGAGAAAAAAATCATCCCAATTCACACAATTCATTAATACTAAAGCCTGCAATCCAGCAAAACCAATTCCTGCATGAGATGCCAGCCAGCACTCCACTGAGCAAGCTCTCAAAAATCAGCGTTAAAAAAGTACTCATTTTGTTTAACTGCTCCAGTAACTACAGTCAAAAGCACAAGTGGGAATAAGTCATGTGAGTAAAGGCATGGTTTGTGAGCACGGTTCCAGCCAGTGAGCCTTCATCAGCCACAAGAAGTCAGTCATCTTCCTTGGCTCTTCGATCTGACAAAAACTTTTCTTCCCAGAAAAGCTAAGAAAAGCATACAAATGAACTTCAATTTATTGTCATGTGTTCATAAAACAGAAAGTACTTCCCCAGATGGTTTTAGGACATGCTGTGCACAGCTGCATCTGATAACCAGAAGTATTTTCCCCAATGATTACAGAAGCTATTTAGCTTCAGGATCTTCCTGGAAAGTCAGAGATACCATGCAAACTGTACCCAGGATTGCCCTTCCATAAAAGGAGATGAAAAACATGATATTCATTGTATCCTGACCAGACTACTTATCATGGAAAAGGTGGGAGGAACACTGACAGAAGAATTTCCTGTTCCTGTCCAGGCTCCCAGTCTAAAATTACTGAAGATGCTGTTATCTGAAAGACCAGCTATGTCCAAGCCAGCCTAGCACAGGGATACAGCCAAGGGCAGAAGCATCCCACGCCAGGTACAACAGAACACAAGTCTTATTCTGAATTATTCCAATTTATGCATGCATGCAGCAGAGAGAGAACAAGTTATGACTGAATTGCCTTCAATGCTCAGCTGATCTGCTTGAAAAACGCACAGGCTACTTAGGTCACCGTGCTGTAGCTGGGCAAGGAATCTAGTTAAAAAGCAAAGTCTGCAGGGACATGGAACCCAAACAGCCTCTTGACTAGCAGAAGGAAACAGCAGCATTCTCCAGGTCACAACTGCACATTCCCAGGCTTGTCACAAGAAGCTTCTCAGCCTTCAACAAACCCACAGATTATAAAACACGTCAGAACATAAGAATTACCAGCATCCACACAGTCGTGGGCAAGACAGCTTTTTCCACCTAACTCCCTGAAGTAACCCCAAGAAACTCAATTTCAGCAGCTTATGCACACTTGTTGCCCTGGTCAGACAGTAAAGTCTGAAGCGTTCAAAGTTTCTCCCTGGTTCAAAGCTCCCTTCTGCTGTATCAACAAGGACACACTGCCTGTGCAGCTTCATGAACTTTCACACCAGGAATGATCCATAGTAACCTCTTGGTTAGAAGATAACAAGCCCTTTCCAAGACAAGCATTACCAAACATGCTTACTCATACCCAGCAGATATGCCACAACAGACTTGTTTGCGGATCAGTCCTCTTCAGATTTCTCCACAGCCATCAGTTTACTGGTTTCAAACGGTCTTATCTTCGCATTTCAGAGGGCCTCAATACAGTAAAGAGCCACGTCCTCTCTAAGCTTGTACATCTGCCATGCAGTTTCTATTACAGCTATTCCAGGTTAAATCTTCCTGCTACTGTACTGCCCAACATTAATATCCCATTAAACAGAACAGTTTTGCACTTATTGACACATCTCCAGCTGAAAACACACAAATCTTAGGGCAGCTTGGATTTTGTCAAGGGATTATTGTTGCCTAGATCACCCACTCACACTATGCCAGGACAAAATCAGTTGCTTAAGACACTCTAGCCTTTTCAAGGGGAAAAGAGTGAGACCAACGTGCTTCTGGAAACAAGTCAATTGGCCCTTAACACTATTAAGTTAAAAAGCAGATTGTCTTTGCTAATCAGGGAGGATAAAGGCTCCAAAGTCACATTTGTTTTTAGTTTTTCCTGCATAAAGAATTGCTACAAAAATACTGTGTGTTCACTCGCATGCAAGATACTGCCCTGGGGTGTCTAGAATTCCTTAACTGCAGTAAACATGTTTATCATCTAGAACTCTGTGCAACTCAGGTGTGAAGATGCTACAGTAAAAGGACGTTGCCAGGCATTCCAGATTATTAGCCTCAAGCTGCCTGTGTATTTGTCAGGACTGATGCTTTAGGAACAGTTATCCTGAAACCAGAATGAAAGAAAGCTACAAAACATTTATGGGTGCTACTTTTGAGCAACCCTTCCAGCTTAGTGAGCTTTCACACCAAGTTACAACTACTTACACAGACATACTAGACTGCATGAGGGGTCACTATCTAGAACACGAGAGCACTCCTTTGACTTGGTAAAGCTTTAAACTCTGTGATGCAGAGCTGCTGATCTAACTCAGCAGAGAGGAATTCCTGTACAGAGGGATCCATCTTCTGTGTCACGGTCATCAGTCAGAGAGTGACACTTGTCTCCCTGTGGATGACCTGCACTGCAGTTTGGACTGCACTAAAACACAACTTTTTATACTAACCCAACCACCAGATGTGGACCTGCACATGAAAGCCCAGCACGCTGTCAAGACATCCGTCCCAGATTGTTTAGGTGCTGCCCACTCACAGCATCGCACCTGCAGTGATACGCTGCCTTTCAGAGATTCTGAAAAGAAAAGCTTTTAAAAAGCAGGCACACCCACCTACCAAGTGCTAATTATCACAGCTATATTTATTCTTTACCCACAAGCGTGCAAGAACTCAAACTTACTTATAATGGTTAAGGTCTTTCCATGGGTAAAGAGGTAGAAGTCTGCTTCTAAACCCATCATAACTGTTTCCCAGCAGTCACTACCTGCAAGTTTCTAAAAACAGCATTGATGTAGCAGCCCCATTCAGCCAGGTTAAAACATTAGTACCACCAACAGCTGAAAGTCTCATTTCTGCAATAGTCTTTCTCTCAAGGATATCTTTGGAAGAAGAAATTTCACTTGTTCTCAACTTATATTTGCTTCAACTCCTGTTCCGCTTGAAGGATATACAGTGAAATAGTGACACTATTCAGGAGAGCATTAAAAAAAGTTATCTCCTTCAATTACTGTTATCAGAGTTTTGGAACAGAGATTTGTGTGGCACGTCGTGACAAACTAGCTTAGCTTTTCACTCATCCCGCCTCCCAAAGAGAAAGAATAAGAGCTGCAGTTCTGTCATTAACCTCCTCACAGAAAGCAGTGCAGCATGACTGAGGACTCTGGGGACACTGCCTCAAAGTCCACAGGCAAAACCACCTAAAGTGCCACATAATCATCCACAAATTAAGCCAGCTGTAAGCCACATTACTTCCCAGCTGGCCACAGTATAAACTTATACAAACCCAATTAATCCCAAGTGAAAGAACCTCACCATTGCTGGAGTTTTGAAAGGATCTGTCGCCATCAGGTCTCCTCTGCATTTCTTCATTCTCAGGGCTCTTGTAGGTTGTGGTGGAGCCAGACGGGCGTTTTCTTACACAGTCTTCCCCTGCCATTGCTGCCTAGCTAAACCAGAAAAGGACAGGAAATAATTAATGACAAAACCCCATTTATTCTTCACATAGTTACAGAATGAATTACATAGCCGCCTCTGCTCCACAGTTAAGATTTTTCCCTTGCTATTATGAATTCAGAGTAAGGGCAGTTGAAAAGAAGCACACACTGGCATTAGTCACTGTACTGCAAGTCACACTGCCTTTCCCTTACTGTATCTGTAAAAGAGCAAAGTATCCAAGCAAGTTCTCCCTCACCACTACAAAAACAACTTTCATTTTCCCACAGCTCCCTCCTTTCCCTTACAGATCTAAGTATTTAAAATGACCTGAGCCTTTGTGAAATCTTTAAAAGCGCAAAAAGCCCTTGAAAATGCTCTCCAGTAGTCAGCCTGACAGCAAAATTTGTCTTCAGAGAGCTCTGGCACGTTTGCTTTGCAAGATCACCCGCATGGTTTTGCCTGAGCCAAGCCCCCTCCTGTCAAGCTTCAGTTCTCACTGAAAAAGCAGCTTCCTCAATAGATCCTTGTATTTTGTCTGGCCAGACAACGGCTGTGCTGTGAACCAGGGAAAAACAGGAAGAGAAAATCTGGTTTGAACACATCCAATGACAAAAATCACTGCTAGTGTCAGAGCTGCTAGCTAATAGGGAACACCTGATCCGTCACAGCTGGGCTGAGAAAAAGAAGTCAGAAAGCAACTTAAGAAGGATTTCCTCAGAAAACTGAGACAGACACTTCCACAAAAGGGAAACTGGACCCTTATGATCATATGCTGGCAGGAGTCAGCTTCCTGCATTTGTTCCTCCAGCAGAGGACCTGCCAATCTTTTGGGTACACAGCACACAGGAGCAGCTTCTGCAACACCTAGCAAAACATCAATTGACCACAAAACCATTTCTTGCAGGACACTGTCCCTTTTCAGCCCCATGTAAGGAAGTCACAACCAGGTCAGTCTACATGCTATAGAAACAGAAACCACAAAAACAACAAGCTTCTCAGCTGACTGATATATAAATTACAGTGGTGTGAGCTTATACAAAAGCCTTTACCTGAAGAACACAAAGAACCAGGCACGAGAACAATACGCCTTCTCACAGCAAATAAATACTCTCACTGGTGCAGAAATCCTGCTGGCAGGATCTAGCCCCCTTCTAACAGCTCTCTGCCATTACTGCTGCAAATCCTCTCACCTTTAAAAGCAACCCAGCCACCACTGTGACAACATGACTTTTTCCACCTTCCTGCCTTCCCACTGCAGCAGCACAGGGCCGTTCTGCCCACCTGTGGCTTAAAAGCACATGGAAAGCAGCCACTTCTACCCTTCTGCTCTTACACCGGTGAGATGCCCCAAAGCCACATCTGTCCTTGAACAGCAGAGGTTCTCTGGCTCCACTCAGAGTGCACTGCCCACCTCCAAGAGGCAAGGAAGTGCTCCTTTCTTCCCACCACAGGCTGGGAGTTGTTAGCATCCAGCAGAAAGGTTAACAGAACGGAACTAAAAACAAGGAGTTCTGGGACGAGGGAAGGAAGGTTCATGGAATCACAGAATGGCCTGTGTTGAAAAGGACCACAGCGATCATCCAGCTCCAACCCCCAGGCACGTGCAGGGTCACCAACCAGCAGCCCAGGCTGCCCAGAGCCACATCCAGCCCGGCCTTGAATGCCTGCAGGGCTGGGGCATCCACAGCCTCCTTGGGACAAAGTTCAGGTGTTAACGAAGGACTCGATGCCCCATCTGAGCCCTGGGGATACAGCAACACAGCTCCGTTAGCACCGGCCACAGCGATTTTTGGCAGGAAAACAAGAGCCGTGCTGGAGGAAATCGAGCAAAACAACCGCTTTCCTCACTCGGGTTCCGTCACAGCAGCCTAACACCATGGCACCCCAACACCGCGAGCCTCTGCCACAGCCAAAGCTCGGCGGGACGCCGGGTTGAGCCCAGAGCGCCCATCTCGTCCCTCGGGAGCATCACAACGCCACCTAGCACTGCCCGCGTCCCTCCGAGCAGCCCACACGCGGCTTTCCCGGCAGGCAGCCGAAGCGGCGCGGCACCCTACATACACCCCGATACACGCGCGGAAGCGACCGCTGCACGACGACAGCTCCCTCCTTCCCCTCCTCGTCCTCCCCAGCCCCGAGGAACTCTGCCCCCTCCCGGAGCCTCCTGACCCCCTTACAGCCGGGATAGCCGGGAGCGGGCCGACCGCTCGGAACCGGCCGGGCAGGGCTGAGACAACGACCGCCCGCAGCCCGGACGGCCACCTCCGAGAGCCCGCGCCGCTCCTCTGAGCGCCGGCCCCGCGCCGCTCTTCCCGCCTCCGCCGCTCGCCGCGCGCCCGCGCACGTCACCGCGCAGAGGGAGGGGGGAGCGGCGGCGCCGCCCATTGGCCGTGGGCCGCGGCGCGAGGGGGGGGGGGGGGCGCGTGAGGCGCACGTGGGGGGAGCGCGCCCCCTGCGCTCCGCTCCGCCCGCATCTCCGCCCGCATCTCCGCCCGCACGTCCGGGTCCGGCGGGACATCCCCGCCCCATGGAGGCTGTGGGTGAGGCCGGCGGGATGCCGGAGTCGAGGCCGGGAGGAGGACCCCGTCCCTCCGCCCGTCCTTGTCCTTGGCGGGGAACGCGGCGGTTGCTCAACAAGTGCTCCGGGCTTCGGCCCGACTCGCGGCCTCCGCGGGGAGATCGTTTCAAACGGTTGTGCCGGAGCGAGGGCAGATGTTGTTACGGGGGAGGGAAACGAGGAGGTCCCGTCTCTGTTCGGAGCGTCAGAAATGGGGTGAAAGGCCCAACCTGCAGCCCGCACACTGCCTGCAGCAGGGAGGGCACGGCGCGTGACGGGCTGTGAGTCACTGCGGCACGTCAGCGAACTCCAGTAACCTCTGTCGCTGCGGCGTAAACGGGGAAGTGTTCCTAAAACGAGAACTGAGCCGCCAACCTCCGCCTTTTCTCCTCCTCGCAGCTCCAGGGCTGTGCCGTGCATGCGGTGCGCTGACCGGTTATTCCCGGGCTGAAGCGTAGGGATGCTTAGCAGGAAAACTGCTATAAAGATTGAAAAAGAGGAAAAAAGTATTTGCTGACATGCGAATGGCTGTGCTGGAGCCTTCACAGAACTGAGCCCCTGTCCTCCACAGTGCGGACTTAAAACCCGCTTTGTGTTTTTTTAGCACAATTCCTCTTAGAGATGCTCTCACGGCTGCTAGCACGCAGTCACGGCAGGCTACTCACGTTGCAGTGCCTTGTGGTGCCAGCGTGAGCAGGGTGAGCAAGGAGAAAAAGGGGAAGAAACTGAAAGTTTCCTTTCCTGAAGATCCAAAACTTGCTGATGGAACTGTTGTGTCTAATCAGCAAAACCTCAGCTCTGGAGGGTAGGAAGATCAGATACCTTTGGCAGAAAGAAGAGGGCATCTGGAGTTCAGAGCTGGTTGCGGGGCTTCATTTATTGTGCCTTATGGAGATGAGGGGTAGGTAGCACCAAGTTTGTTAACAGCTCTTAAAGAACCTCTCTGGCCCAAACATCACTTTGTGATGGGTGCTTTGCTCGCCTCTGGTCTCCCAGCCTTTCCCTAAACTCTGTATCACAGATTCTTCCTGCTCCAGGTGTGTTTGCAGGTAGCACACCCGACCAGCCCTCCTCATTGCCTTTCTTCCCAAACTTTATAAATTCAATGAGGCATTGCCACCACTGATTTTTTCTGCTACTCGCGTGCATCTTCTGCTCTTGTCTTCACAGGTCCAAATTGCAGCAGTGTTTCATCAGCTACATCCTTTACCATGCTTGTCACCACGCTGCTTGCAATCTTGATTTTCTTGAGTGTTTTACGCTAATCCTACAGGCTGCATTGCTCAACGATTGCCTCACCACCACCACTTCTCAGCACTCCTGGCTGAATCACGGCGTTGCTCGCCCCCACATCACAACTGGTGTCCCAGACACACCAACCTTTTTGCTTCAGCTTTACTTGATCTCACTTCAAGAGCCAGGACAGGCTGAGGGCTGAGGTTTTCACAGCCCCTCAGGAAGACCTGCGCCTTCTGCTGCACCTTGCCATAAAGCTTGGCACTGTTTCCAAACAGATGGGATTGATGCTGCTTTTTCTTAATTCTGCATAACTCCGTGCACTACTTCAGGCTCTAAGTAAATGTGGCTGTTTTTTGTCACTCATTTTCACAGGAATTAGAGCTTCTATCTGGGCTTTAGATTGAGTTGCCCAGAAGCCTCAGCACTTTCTCATGTTTCAGTCGACTGCAGTATTCCCCATAATATCATAGAATCATAGAATGGCCTGGGTTGAAAAAGACCACAATGATTATCTCATTTCAACCCCCTGCTCTGTGCAGGGTCACCAACCACCAGACCAGGCTGCCCAGAGCCACATCCAGCCCGGCCTTGAATGCCTGCAGGGATGGGGCATCCACAACCTCCTTGGGCAACCTGTTCCAGTGCATCACCACCCTCTGTGTGAAAAACTTCTTCCTAATATCCAACCTAAACCTCCCCTGTCTCAGTTTAAAAACATTCCCCCCTTGTTCTATCACTATCCACCCTTGTAAACGGCCACAATATGCTTTTCTAAGTATGGTTTAATCGTTTCTCAGTATGCGTGCACCATAGCAACTGTATAAATGACAATGTGTAAATGTCAGAGCTCCCTCAAGTGGTAGGAAATACTGTAACATGTTACACTTTTTAAGGAGTTGGTGTTTTTTGAATCCTTTTTTAACAAATAACAAAATGACAGTGAAGTTAGACCTGTATCGTCAAGCCAATTCGAAGTGTAGCAATGAATGGTCTGGTTTTGCGTAGCCAGAAAAAATGGTGCTGCTGTAAGGCCAAGGTCGGAGCTCAGTCAGCAGTTAACAAAATACCAAATCACACATCATTTAAGAAACTGTAGCGGGCTTCAGCCTGATCCGATAACGCATGACTGCATTTTGGCAAGAAAACCTAAATCTGGCTCCAGCACACATCACATAGCTGAGGTGCCCAAGTGCTTATAGATCATGCAGACTGCTTCTGAAACCTCCAGTTCAAGTTTTCAGAGTTGCTGCTATCATCGCATCGGATTTGGTGTGTAATTACCCTTGCTCCTGTTTACTTTTGGGAACGTTCAATATATCTGCTACAAGAGATCCAGATTAGCAAACTCCTGTAAAGAGACAGAAGCAGCAGGAATTAAACGTGGGCCTCGGAGAGCAATTCCTCATGCACTTACAAGCAATGCAGTTGCTGCTTTTGCTGGCATTTGGAACAGGCAGAGAACCAAGTGCAGTTCTCTCAGCAGAGGGCAGTGGTTTCCTCAAACATCACTCAGTGCTACTGAGCTGAAATCACCCTTCCATAAAGAAGTGAAGCCCTGCTGCCTGTCAGCAGGTTGCCGGATTGCTCTGCGAGCTCAGAAATTCAGATGCTGACCTTCTTGCCAGGCCAAATTTGCATTGTTTTCCAAGAGGCAAATGTTTTTTCCTTGCCCTATCATTTTGAATGAGCTGTGCCAGTTTAGCAAGTTTGGGGTTTTTGTTTCAATTGAGGATGTTGTTTCTTTGGTATATTTTTAAAAAGAAGCTCCTAAATACAGCATCATGAAAGGTACTGAATCCATGTGGGTGTATCTACATTTTAACCCTGCTAAGTTCAACTGTGTTTCCTACAAGTGCTTTACTCCTTCTGTAACACCCCAGCTTTGTTTTGTGATCTTTTAGATTGTCTTTGAAAGTTACATTATGAGGCCATGGGAAAGGTGTGGGGAAACGAAATGAGCTGCTCCAGTGAGAACAAATCAGCCAGGTTTTCTCTTTGAGGAAACACATGGTCTCTGAGGTCACCAATAAGAGATCTTAGGGAGAAATGTCACTTAGGTAGTCAGGGTGCTACCTAAACTCCACTGTGAGCACCAAGGAGAAGCCCAGGAGCTTTGAAATGCAACCGGAATCATAATGCTGAAAGCGGTTTCGCTTCTTCATAGTGAAAGCCCTCCAAAAATTAGAGGATGTGGGGAAAAGTAATACCCACCAAAACCACAACCTATTGCTCAGAGGGGAACAGATATCTCCATAAAGCCGTGGGAGACTGAGTCTCCATTGTAAACTGAGAAAGAAATTATGTTTCCAGCTTTTAGCATGAGGCATTGCCTCATTTCCACCTTGTTTTAATCTCCGCAGAGACGGATGACATCTACTGAAAGTAGTCCCAAGCAGAAGACGTTTCTAAATCTGTCCAACCAGCAATTTGGCTGTTTCCATGGCAGTGATGCAGCCAGGCCTGCTGCTTTCCCTTCTGCAAGAACCCTTCCCAAGCCTGACAGAGAACACCATGCATTTGTAGCTGCCCTGCCAAAACCTTCCCTCTTCTTTGCTCAGCGCTGTACCCATCTGTTCCTTTTTGCTTCCTCTTCCCTTTGGAAATACCTGGCCAGAGAGAAAATCTCTGCATTCGTTCTCTTTTCTGCTGAAGCCTGCCTGACTCAGGCAAAGGAGGGAGTGCTGCTGGGTTTGAAGGATTGGAGACGGCAATGCTTTCCAAGTCTCCGAGCTGCCTTGGAAAGAAGTTTTGGGTGATGGTGAGGGAGAACAGTGTAGGAGCCTGGAGCAGAAACAAAGCAGAAAGAAAAAAAATCCAGATTTCTGTCTGGTCTCTCAAAAGAATTAGGCTGAAACTTGGCATCTTTGGCCATAGCAACAAGTGGAGCAGTAAAGAATGTACAAACTTGGTTCAATGCAGTGCTTTTTGAAGGAGATGACAAGCGTGAAGGAACACTTCCAAAACCCTGAATTCAGATAAATCCGTGTCACATCTGAGTCTCTGGCAGCTCTCAACACTATTTCACTGCAAGTGAAAAAATAGAAGAGTTACAAAGCTGAAAGAATAGCCTTTCCTATCAGCTGAGGGCCAGCAAAAATGGAAGGTTGTAATGGAACCATTCTGGGAGGTGAAGCAATATGCAGGGTTTGCTGCATTTGATTGGCATTGGGCTCAGTTGATGTGGTTACAAAAACATCTTTGTGCTCAGCAATATTCCGTTGTTGGCCTAGTGCCTTGAGGCTTACATGCTTTGGAAATATGGATGAGGAGATGAAAACTTGAGCTTGTTTAAAGGTTTTAAATCTGAAGATGGCAGACCTGGGAGAGGGATTCTGAGTTCAGGCATGTAGGTCATGCAAGAAAAGTCTTGTCTTCACTAGCAAGTTACTATGAAACACAGTAAAAGTGTTCCTGCCCCTTCAACCCTTGCTCACACAACACAGAAAATTCTCCTTGCCGAAAGTGTCAGGAGAAACAAGAATTGACAAACAAACCAGAGGACAGGCTAAGCTTGAGTGAGGTAACTTCATCCTTTACCCCTGCCATTTCCCTACATCATGTAGCCAAGTTAGCACCATTAGG